TTGTTAAATACTTCGTAGAATCACGAAATAACCGTGCAAGTCTGTCCTTGGTCGGTCAAAGGCGTAGGTTTTTCTTTGAAATTATTAATTACGGTACAGGCTATAATAACGTGGCATTATGCATGCTTTGTACGATGCATCTCGATTACAAAGGCAATCATAACATAATAATGCAAGCGACAAAAAAGCAAGTGAACCGCCACGGTCGCTTGCCGCGATGAGTTCATTCATGATAGAATTAGCTTTTACGCTTATATAAATAAGCATAAAATTATATAAATTAATATTATATAAATTCATAATTACTCATTAGACATTTATTTAAAAAATGTATATTGTGTCTGTAATTATATATGATTTTCCAAAAAAAAAAGCATTTATTTAAATTCATTTGGAGAGGATGGATGAAAGAAGAATTACGAAAGAGATTTATCGAGCAAGAATGAATGGAGATGTCGGTAGGGGCCGCCCTAGATGGACGTATGTCGACCAAATAGGCGACGTGCTGAAGAAGGGTCAAATTAAAAGTACCCGTAACCGACGAGCGTGTATGACAAGATTGATGAATGTGGAAGAAGCGAAAGAGGTTTGTTTGAATCGAAGCATTTGGCGTTCCATTGTTTCTGCCTACCCTAATGGGAGACAGGCGTGACAGATATGTATGTATGTATTTAAATTGAATATTAGAAGTATTGTAGTAATCATAATAAATATATTTTAGAATTAACAATGTTAAGTTCACCCATAATACATGTGTCAATTTATTTTTCGTTATTGTACTTATGTTAATCATTAAAAACAAAAGTCATTAACGGAGTAATAACATTTTTCCAATAAAAGGGATCGTAGATAAATTTTAAAAGAATTTAAATTAACCGGTATCAAAATGGAGGCTGTTATCAGTTTCTAATGATACTAACTTATAAGAGAAATTTAAAGTTATTTGTTGTTATTGAAATTTTAATTCAAGAAATATTTATCCTAGTACGTTCTATAAATTCTTAGTACAAATAATATCTGTAATTAATATATACCTACCTAATTTCAAAAATTTCTATCGGAAAATCACGTACATTCTTGAAAAATATATTAGTTTCATTTATGTACCGCTAATGATTTACATTTCACCGTCTGTTCGTCTCTATGTATGCTTAAATCTTTAAAACTACGCAACAGATTTTAAATCGGTTTTTTTTAATAGATAAAGTGATTCAAGAGGAAGATTTATATGTATAATACATGCATATTATTATAGAGAAACACTGATAAATTTAGAAGTTTCTAATGTGATATGTTGTAATGTGTACCCGCACGAAGCCGGGGCGGGTCGCTAGTATATATATAAATGTAACATTTGTGTTTATCCTATTTCGCTTAAATCGACTATTTACCACTTAGACGTTTTTGTCACGACTTATTCAAGAACTATTGGCAATTCCACGATGATAACGCAAAATAATTTGAACTGGAACTATTAAATTGCCATAGAAGATGAAGATAGTAAAGCCAAGTGTCTATTGTACGGTCAGCAGTGAAATTTCATAGCTTTACATAAATAAAATTAATATGTATATAAATAAACTAAGTTATTACGTCAGTATGATGGTATATTATGCCATAGATAAATATATTATGTCTACAATGATGTTGATTGTTAAGACTAGATAACATTTTTATTTTATAAGCATTAAAAAAATATCAATACACAATCTTAAATTATCAATCTTAAATAATGAAAATAAATTGATATTTTTATACAATTCCACAATCTTTATTTCATCTATAGTTAAAATTACAAATAACCTTTAAAATTGCTTATGATTAGTAAACAGTCTATAGACACCTGACTGAGACTATTCAGTGTTACTAGGAATATAACGCTGTTTTATACTAAGTTGAGAAGTGTTATTAGAAACCACCATGCGATTATATTTGTGGTTATAATAAATATAAGTAACATAAACTAAGCCACACGGTGATACCTATCCGATGATAAATAGTTTGTCACAGTAAATAACGATGTAATATATAATATAAATATAAACTTACTTCGTCGAACCTTCTCAGTTTAGTTACTTTATCTCCATAATAAAAAAAAAATTTAAAAATTATCTCCAGGGGAAACTGCGTACCATTCCATACGTCTTTGTGGACCGTACAAACTGTTCTAATACGAAGCCGCCACCAATAGAATACGATGAGTCATCAAAATTTAAACTAATTACGATTGGATAGAAAGAAAAAAAAACGTGTAAGTTGATGTGAGACGAATATTCTGTGGCGGTTCCTTCAAAAATCGGTCTAGGCTGCCGATATTTTTATGGTTAATTTTATGATTATTTTTATTTGATGGGAACTAAACGGTATTTACAAGCTGAAGCGTTTTGAAATAGCTATTACAGTTTATCGATATTTCTATGATGAAATATATTTTGGTGAATGATTTTATAAGAGGATTTTTTTTTGATGGATACTTTTTGATATTTTATAAATCAATACACATAAGTAATTCTGTTTATCTGAAAACAACTATATGAATATACGAGTATTAAATTATTTTCAACTGACTTTAAAAAGAAAGAGGTTCTCGATTTGGTTGCATTTTTAAGTTTGTTATCATATATGTTATTAAAAAGATATGCTTACAGTTTAGTCCTATACAAATTTTATCAAATTAGTACCAGAGTAGTTTAGTTTTTAAAAAACTTTTTTCCAAAACTGAAATCTTTTTTTTTTTAGAACACAAATTATACACTTTTTTTTATTTTTATTTTATTTTTGAAGTACGAAATATTTCTGTTAAGTTTGTAGTTATTTATCTTTTTGTTATTTAATAAAAAAATAAGTATAGGAAACTATATAAAAAGACAATGAAACTTAGATGAATTTTAGTGAAAAAAAATTGCATTACATTTGGAGGCATTATTTGCATCGTTTATAATTATGTTAATAACATACAAACATTTTTAATAATATCTAATATACCACATTAAGCTTCACTCGTATAGTGATTCTCGATGTGAAATTTGAAATTTATTTGACACAGAGATGAGGCGTTCCAAACAGATATGGGACACTAAATTGGTATTTACGATAGTAGAATTATATTGATAAAAATAATTTTGTATCTGGAACTTAATAACAATATTTAAATTCAGAATTCCAAATATTTGAATATCTGTTTTTCAACTACATCTTTAGTAGCACATATTATGCAATAATGTCTAATTTTATAAAGACTGGTAATTTTTATTATTAACAATAAAAATGTTTGATTGACTCTAAAAGACGACGACCTGAGATCAAACGACTGAATTAAATTCATTTATTATTATAATGTTCAACATCCGTTGTAGGTTTTGTATTTCGATTATGAATATTAATACGTTGGATGAAAACCATTTCAATATTATAAACACACAAAGAGGGCTCAATGATCAATAATAATGTAAAATAGTGTGAATATTTTTGTTCTAATATTCTCAATGTTTATATACTTTATAAAAAAAATTTAAATAAAATTAATTCTTTTACTCTTTTATTTATAAAAAAACATTATGTTAGACTTGGTTTAGTTAATTTTAGAGTATACGTAGTAACTTCGTTTTGACACTGTTATTAATAAACATGGAATTACCTCGGAATAACAATACATTTCTGATTCCAAAATTAACGTGCATTTCATGGAACAATGAAATAGCAATTGTCCTATCTATACATATAATAAGACTGTAGAGGTCGAATGTCTATACATAGAAAAAAAAAAACGCTAAAAACCGAGTCAGAGGGATATTAGAAATGAAATAGTACATATTATTATCTAGATTTTTTCAATTTTTTTGTTTCTCTATCTGTTTGTCTGTTTACCTATTTGCCTGTTTGTATAGGCTAATCTCCAAATTTTAAGTTTCCGTGGGATAGTTAAAAAACTATAGTAACTTATACACACACACGTACACAACCTACTTAAGTTATTTTAACCTAAGTCAAGAAGTGAGAGACATGTTATTTTTTAATTTTGGTCCAGTATTTCCAGATATAATAAATAGGTAAGTACATACATCTACCGGATGTTATCTACCGGAATAATAAATACCACGCGGACAAAGCGACTGGCGTTAGCTAGTTAAAAACAAAAAGTATCAGTTATGAACAAATTCGAAGTTGTTTTGACAAAGACAAGTTACTATTGAAATTTGACATTCATAAAATTATACGACCGAAACCATAAAGAAACGGTAACAGATTCTTTGAAATTACACCCTTATTCCTTCGCTAAACTAGGGTGACTTTGTGATAGGATTTTAGATTTACTTTGAAAGTAACATTGGACTAGCTTTCTCATTCGTTATTCCGTGTTTATAAATACAAAAATTGGTTAATAATGACTTGTTACTTGGAGTAAAATTTATCTGGCTTTACTACATAAGAGAGAGAGAATAAAAGAATCTAAATAAGTCAATAATATCCAATTTACAAATAGTTATCTTAAAAATTAATAAACATATTTAAAAGTCAATCAGTTCATTTCTATCTGTCATAATTGAACCGAAACGCTTATATATCATCTAATTGTTATCTACAATCAGTAAAACTGACCAATAAGCTCGACTGTTGCTCAGCAAATGGTATGCGCTGCGATGTCCCTGAGTTTTTTTCTATATGCTTTACGACTGTTGTGTACGTTGGAAAGTACAACCACCTTTTACTATTAATCAAGATAGACCGATTTCCAAGAAACTAGTACTACTATCGAGAGACTTATAAATATTTCATTTCCAAGTAGCCGAGCGGATGCAGCCACAGTTGGCTTCACATCTGCAACTTGAGTTACACCGACTGCCTGTTACGTGCATATAAATTAGGTCTTTATACCGTAATCAGTCTTGTAGAAAATTAAAATAAGTAAGGAAGTGGATGTTCCATCAACAGGTACAATTTATGTCGTAATTAGTGGTTACAGATAATACATTTTAGCATATTAATTTAAAAGAACGTACCTGTGATCCCGTAAGTGGTCCTGTCTTCGGAAGGCTTTGCCGCAAATGTCGCAAGAGTATGGCCGCTCGTCCGTGTGCGTCCGCTCGTGGATGAGCAAATTGTAGGATTTGGTGAATTGGCGGTTGCAGAACTTGCAGATGAACTGCTTCTTGGGGCTTGATGCTCTCCCTGGTGCTCTCAGCAACCGTCGGTCTAAATGAGGATGCATTTGATGAGGACCTGCTCCAGGTGGAAAAAGTCCAGCCCCGGGAAATGTGAAACTACCGGGCGTTGTCGGAGATGGACCTGGAGCGCCAAGAAATGCCCCTGGTGGCCCGTAAATTGGTGGTTGAGTTGATCCATCAGATATCATGCCATCCATGGATGAAGTTCTGTGATGCGGCAGTAACATTGCAGCTGCTGCCTCACGAAGAGCTACTTCTTTTCTTTTTTCAACCATCATAGCCATTAAATCAAAGTTCCTTTTAGGAAAATTCCCTGTTGCTCTATCAGGAGATCCTTTCGCTGATTCAGCACGCTCTCTTTCTAGTATTCTTTCTCGTTCCATAATTTCTGAAGGTATTAATGCAGGATGCATATCATTGGGATAAATAACGGGATGTATAGATCGCGTGGGTACTACAGGAACAAAGGCGGACGACTCGCGATGGGATGCGGTTAGGAGAGAACCAGATGTTATCTGTCGATGGTAGGGCAAGGGTGGTGATTCAAAGTTGTTTCCTGGATTTCTGCCATTTGAAGAAGGTCTTTGTTGAGCTCTGTCTGTTGAACTTGCAAGAAACTGATCATGTCTGGATCGTAAAGGTGCATTTACTGGTGTATCAGAAACAGGACGAGGTGTAGAAGCTCGTGATACAACTGTTCCACCGTTGTCCGACATCACGCTTTAAAAACATCTGAAAAGAAAAAAAAAATACATTAGCATTAATGCTTTTGATAGTAGTAGTCTTTGTATTATTACACTCATTAATATGTTGCCCTCCGGCATTCACTATGGTATCCATTTATCATAACGTATATAGTTCCGTATTGCAAAAAGGAATGAGTCGATTGCTTATGTCATATATGTTTTATATTTAGTATAGAATATGGAGCATGTTATAGTCACGCATTTATAAATAAACTAAGGGTTTCGCGTATCTTCACACGTGGAAACCGGTTTTCTTTCAATCTTGTGTGAATTTAGCATAACAGTTCGGAAAAAGTAATAAGTTTAAGTACCTTTCATACTTCTCCAAGTACACATGTGCGTTACGGTGAAAAAAAAAATAGGTTTGTAGGCTTAGCTGTTTTAGTAGTTACTTGTTACTACGTAAAACGTAATTATATAGTTGTCTCCGCAACTTACTTCATTTTAAGGATAGTAGATTAGTATCAAAAATAGAATAATCTTTTATATTAATACAAAAATGTAGATATTATATAAGTAGGTAGACATTTATCTTGTATATTACTAAATTTAATTATATGTGAAAGTGAGTTTGTTTGTTATATTATAGTGCCTTATGGCTTAACCAATTGCAATGACATTTGGTATACACATAAGTACGTATAGTAAGGAGAATAATGTAATAATAGGCTACTTTTTATCCCGTTCAGTAATATATTGCAGTTACGCGGACAAAGTTCTGGATAAAAGTTAGTGAATAATATAGAATACATTCAAAATTATGCTTATTTAATTTAAAATAATGTAAATGCATACAATACGATTAACAAATCGATACAATTATGGGTAAATATACAGTAACAATCGTCTGCTCGTTCAATTCATTTAGATTTATGGATCGAGAAACATGCTTAATGAAGTAGCTCTATATAAATTCTACTAAATAATTACCATATAAAGATATGCTAGTAAATCGTCTCAAGATAACTACTGTGAAGATCTATCAGTATTCACGTCTTCATAGAAACAGTTTGGTATCAATTCTACTTGTATATCTAATTGTTTATTCACATATTTATGTGTAAAAATTTAGTACTAAAATGTAAATGAAAAAAGTTTTAATATTAAAAAATGTAATTTCGACAAAACCAATAATAATCTTTACAATTTACCCCCTGTTATCTACCCTAGTTTTTTGTCCAAGGAATTTGCCTTTCTGATTCGTTTGACAATTATCCTTAATGGCCAGCTCGAATAGGTGATAACAATGAACGCAGAGCTTAAGAACTGCTTGTTAAGATAGTAAAAAACATTTTCTTTTAATGCTTTCCAAATGGATAGTGACTGTGGTCATGAAGACAAATAGGCCAAGAATATGCCATACATAGTAGCATATTAAATAATTACCTACATTAGTAATAAAAATTTAAAACTAATATTAAATTTGTACTTTACTATAATAATAGTTCTATAATATAACAGAACCGATACGTTATCACAGACATACTAGAATATGCAATTTATAAAATATTATAATTAATGTAAAACTACTACTAAAATTTATAACATGTATTCAGCATGTTATAAATTTTATCTAAGCAAAAAGACATAAGGGGAATTTAATTAGTATCATTTTGATCTTATGAACTAAACTTTCTATAGTTATTTAAAATTATAGAAGTCGATTTTTAGCTCCTGGTGATATCATAAAATGTTAATCCAGACTGGAATGCGATAAGACAATGATATTAAAGTCAATGATTGATTTATTACTGAATACATAAATACTACTTAGTATAAATATTTTAGCAAAAAGTATATGTATCTTTATATTATAAAGTATGGTTTATTTATTTCTACTTTTATGACTGACGCAGTAAAAAAGTAATTACTGTAATTGGATGTGATGAATGGTTTTTATTTTGACCCTTATTGGTTGTATAAAACGTACGAGTATACTATGTTTTACTTTATATAATAGCATAAGCTTGCTGAACATTGCCCTCCTCCTATTAGGGGGTTTAGCTAGTAGTTACCACGCTTGGCAGTTCGAACTTGGTGATGATTCAAGAGGGATGCTACCCATCACTTAGCAATTTAATTCCCTTAGTCGCCTATTACAATACCCACAAAAAACAGAAAGGCAACTTTCATAATAAATTTACATAATTAGGAATTTGTAATGTATTATATATATTTATATTGGCTCCAATATAAAGGTGTTTCTGTGGATTCAAAACTACAGCCAATACTTTAGTTCAATATGGTATGTTTATGGTTCATAGAAGACTTTCACTAATTCCGTTTGTTAATCGATAACATTATTTTTTTATTATTTATCACAATTATGTATCATTATACAATTATCTATTTATTCCATATGAGACATCAATTGTTAAAACAAATTTATTCAGTCAAGTGACACATTAAATTAGCTATTATTACACATTACTTATTTTATATATACCAATAACAACTCTGAAAAGATTGCTATTACAAGATTTACGATTGGCCCGACTATTTTCATCTATATTATTATGCCTTGGGACAATAAAACTGACGCTCATTTTACTGCCTGGTATGTGTGCTACAAATGTTTTCATAAAGTTTCCGGCGTCTGTGACTTTTATGTGATGTTATAATTATGTTCCTGGTTATGGTTAGGTCAAATGTAGGTGCTATGCTATTTATAGATATATTGAATATATTATTTTTAGACTATTAGTTCAGATAGCCGTTACAATCTGGCTCTATCTATTTGATCACCACAAGATGAGATTTTTAAACTTTGGAATTAATTAAAGCCAATTAGCAGCTAATGTTCCATGATAAGGAATTTGTGGTTTAGTATTTACGATAGAAGTTTTTCAAGTTTTTATAACGGTGTTTCTATATGAAGGCTTATAATTAGGAAAACAGAAATATCCTAAAAGAATAAATCTAATGATACAAAAAAATATACAACTGTACTGTACTGTACTCTATAAATGTTGTGTATTTTTTTTGGATCAATTTAATTAAATCACAGAAAAGTGCCCTATTATGTATTAAATAAATTATAAATAAATTTGCATAGTTAATTATAAGTACACGTTTTTAAATCAGCAATAGTTTCAGAATAAAAATACAAGCCTTTGCCGATACCTACACAAAAAAAAAAAAAAAAAGTTAAAGCACCTACAAAAGATTAATCTTAGAATCAATTTATTCAAGCGAGATCGAAAAAGAAGGCGAGCGGGCCCACATTTCACTGCGTTGTTCGCTCTACCGTAAAAGCCTTCTGATTTTCTGTTCCTTTTGCTCGCACTCATTGCTTTCTATTTTCTATCTTGCTCACTCTACGGTAACGCTTGATCGAGTTCCTACCATCTTACTTGCTCCGAAGCAGTAAAACTACTTTTATCTCGCTTTTCGTTTGAGAACTCAAATGATATGAATATGTATACAAGCTGCAGTAAGCAATGGTCTCTGGATGTAATGCTGGTCATTTCAATAACATAAAACTTTAAAAGGAATATTTTAAAGCCGTCCGTTTGGAAATTTACATTTCTCTTGTCGCACACAGGTGTTTAAGTAACTTAGTACCTACTTGACACTGTTACAAGTTTTCTGTCGAATGTATAAATAATGTTAGTGATATAAATTAAGCCAGATGTAATTTGTTTTATCTAGGTAAATTAAGATGTTAGACAAGAGAACATTAAAAACATAGGTAATACTATTATAAATAAGGATTTGACTGTCTCCTAACACAAATTACTCTAGATGTTCCCAAAGTACAAATAATTTTAGAGTCAATTTTAATCTTCAGCTTATTTTCATTAATGCCAAAGTCGCGATGGCCTTATTCTTATGTTCTAATATGTTTAAATTTTCAGCATGAAATATAGAAGATTTAATAATTAAAATCTGGTTTGTTATCTACTTACCATAAATCAACCAATAACAGGTGAATTCATTTATGTAAACAGTATCTTTTAATATATTAAAATATATGGATCGGGATCCATGACTGATCTTAAAACTTTTTGACATACTCTCGCTATTTCACACTGAATATTTCATTGTGATCTTGATATTATGCAAGCAGATGAATATAATTTTCATTTCACCTCTAATGCGTTCTTAAAATGCATTCAATGTCAAACAAAAATGCGAAGTGTGACACGTGATTATACTCAATTATTCATTATGAAAGACTTTCTTAGATAGAATAATAATAATATACTGTTTAGTGTTATAACAAAAAAATTGGCAACTACCCTTCGTACTAGTAATAATATGTATGACGGAATATATAGAATATTCATTTATACATGTTGTAATAATGTTTTTGAAATTAACTATAATTGTATTCATAAAGTAGTAAACTTAGTATAAATGCTTTATCAATTGAATCATTGTAATTTGAACTTTATTGCTGATACATTAAGTTCAATATAATATTACCTTGCCTTAAACAAAAGTAAATAGAAAATGGAGAATAAAATGCAAACAAAGCTATGTTGGGCATCTCAGTCACGTGCTTTACTTTTAACTTTGGATTGTATATCATGTTTATCACGCATTTCCTAATTTCTAGTTTATTTAGTAGAAATTAGTAAATCTTTAAAATTAAATCAAGAAAAATGTTTATGTTTTTACCGTTTAGTTAACGAACTAGAACAATGCTTATTTATTGTACATATAAATTGTCATTTATAAAAATGGCTTTGAACATTCATATTTAGTTTTTTATAAAAATGTTTGCAATATCTATAATAGTTAGATCTTTGTTAAATTTCTAAATAATCATACAGATATGTAAGATTATTTAGAAATTAGACTTTAAGTGCATTGAAACATTAGACGTTGAAATCAACTACATAAATACATTTGCTTTCCCTGGAGTTTCCATATTATTCTTTTTCTATCAACATTTCCAATACTTCAGCGATACGTTACTAAGAAACTTTTTAAATAAATGATTTTTATTAGCAATATTTAAGTAATATGACTTTAAACTCTTATGTCATATAGCTATTGCAACAAAAACAGTGGACGAAAACAATAATTGTTATAAATATTGTTACAAATATCAGATTTACTTACTATTATAACAGTTTAAAGAAATCTACTTTTCATAGCTCTTACACTGTTGTAGTACTATCCGTTAACTCTCTACTGCTGAACATAGCCTCCTCCATAAGGGGAGGTTTTGTCAGTTGTTGCCACGTTTAGCAGACAGATTGGCAACCGCAGTTTGACTTTTGGTGATGTTTTAGAAGAAACACTGCTGCCCATTCCTCCACCATAAGCTCATGGAAAAGGAAGGGATGGCCTATTTTATGTCGGGACCTATATGGCTAAGTCTTACACTGTGCTATTATCAAATAGTATACAAATTTCGATATCATTTAGTGACTTAATATTCTACTACATTCAGACTAAAAAACTGAGTTACCAAATATAAGGCAAAAGCCATTGATGTAAATTTGAAAATTAAAAAAGTTAAATGGAGATGGACAGAGCACATGATAAGAGGAGATGACAATTGGAGCAAGAAAGCGACAAAGTTAAGGCTTTGAAGTAAGGCAAAAGGAAAAAAGGTAGACCCTGCATAAGACGAGATGATGACATAGGGGAAGTGGTAGGAGTAACATGGGACAGGGTGGCTCAAGAAAGACGAGAATGAAAACGGTTGGACAGGGCGTTACCGATTAGCAAACAGATTTAGAGAAAATAAACAAGAAGCAATTACTAGATTAAGATATTTTGTTTTATTAAATTTAATTTTTGTTTTAAAGCCACTGCTTTAAAACAAACATTAAACTTTAAAAAAATCTTAATAACATTTTATTAAGCTAAGTTGATCTGAATAGTGAAAAGCAGTGGATAGTTAGCGGCTGGTTTAATAATAAATAGTAATTAGTAAAAATTTTACTAAATCTGTGACTTAATCTGCTTTCAGAATTGGACGACGGATAAAAAAAAAACATGACATAAGAGTTATTATTTTTTTTTATATCACTGAGGTGGCAAACAAGCATACGGCCCACCTGATGATAAATGGTTATCATAGCCCATGAATTAGGTATTTCAATTCCAGAGGTATTACACGTGCGTATACATAGCTTACTTACTAGTCATTTAAGAGATCATACCAGTAATCTATCCTGTTATAGTAAATACGTATTATGTCATCTGTTAATGATGTCCTAGTGTTGGCATTCATAGATTGTGCGTTTATCACATACCATTAAATTATCTTATTTCTTCCTTGATTATCAACTTCATGGTATTGAAAAGAGTGATGACATGTACTTTGAAAATCTACCAGCTTTATTAATGAGATAAAGTTGGTTCATTGTTCGGTCCTGAAAATTTAACAGATTTAGTAATTTTAGTTTTAACTTTACTAACTAAACCGTCTAGCCTATCAATGTGGACTACGAAGGCGTTTCTCTGTCAGATTTTGTCACTTTAGACACGCCTTTACACAAGGAAAATCACGTTCTGTAATCTCTGCCATAGATAAAACAATCACTTTTGTCTACGTGCCTGCATACGAAACACGTAATTTTTGTTATATTATATGTATATAATATACAAAATTTATGTACTTTATAAATAGATTCACCGCTAGCAAATAAGTTTATTGGTTCAATTATGCGCGCTTCATTTTTGATGCCGCAAGGTTTCATTATAATAATCTTTTCAAACAAGTGTGATTAGATTATTGTTATCGTAGGCACTGATGGCGAAGATTAACTACTATTTACATAGCAATCAGATAATTTTGAAACTCCACCGTTATTGTAGTAGTGATACAAAGTTAAAAGCCGTTTCCCAACTAGTACCTATTGATATTAATCACACATATTTTCTATATCGACATAATGTATTCGAATTATAATAAAAATCACCAAAACCATATTAAAATTCATATTAGTTTTACCACAAAATAGTCACGTTATAGTTGTATTTTGGCGGTGATGTGCCAATACATATGTAGTTAGTAGCTCGGTTCTGATTTACATACATTATAAAATATCTTTTGTAGAATATTTTATAGATACATTTTAAACATAACGATTAGAATAATCTATTTTAAAAGAATGCTCATCTTATCAAGATACTACTTACATTAATGTCATCATCATATCAGTCGTTAACCATCCATTGATCAACATAAGACTCTTCCATAAGGGAGGTTTTGCTACACTTGGCAAGTACGTTGGCAACCATATTAGCCTTTGGTGATGTTTTAAGAGGGATGCTGCTGTCCACTTCTCGATCATTAAATTCCCTTAGTCGCCTCTTAGGACACCCACGGGAAAAGAAGTGGTGACCCATCCTATGCCGGGACCATACTGCAATGCATTTATATAAGGATCTTAAATATCAATTGCAATCTTTACAAATGTTTTGAATAAATATCATAATTATATATAACCCTGGCTCGGGCATGTGGCCTTTGCCATATGAAAACTTTGTAGTTTGTAGAAAAGTCATCTGCTTGGGTCCTTTAGTGCAGCATAGGGTATTGTGGTAATATGAAGACGTAAGATTGTAGAACTCAGAAATAGTAAGGACGTCATATCAATGTCATGTCTAAAGGCGATGATTGCCACTTAAACTATTTTCTATTAGGTGGCAGTCAGGAAGGTGTCAAGAAAGCTGTATTTAATCACTGAATAATATATATTAAGTACATAATATATTAGTGCGCTCAAAGGCAAAGGCTACGGTAACCGCTTACCATCAGGTGGGTCATATGCTTGTTTGCCACCTCAGTGGTATTAAAAAAATGCTCCTATCCAATACGAAAACCAGTATATATGTTAGGTATTGTTAGGTCTTTTTAATGGGTGATAATGAAATGGTAACCCCACCTGCGTTAACGGTATACGTTGGCGGGATACCAGTGAAGGATGATAGATGAAGATGGAAAGACAGGTCAGCTAGCCCATCGTGACGCATACACCTGCAATTCAATGGTTTCCAGGGGGAACCACGTGAAGGTCGACCTGATAGCGTATATTGCTAGCAATGGGACTGGTAGTCTATACCACACCACATTACTACCACATTACTACACCCCCCCCCCCCCTAACAGGTTAGCTAGGGTAGATGTATCTCAAATAACTCTTCCGAAATTTTGCATACATTGATAATTTAAATATATTTATACTATGTTTATTCCACGCATTTTATAGCGCTGTGTGTTCTTTGTATAGAAGAGTCCATCCCTTCCTTTCCCGTGGGTGTCGTAAGACGCTACTAAGGGAACTTAATAGTCGAGGGATGGGCAGCAGCGCCCATCTTAAAACATTACCAAAACCTAATTGCGCTTGCCAATCCGTCTGCCAAGCATGGAGACTACTAGCAAGGTAGATGTGGGATAAAAAAAAAATGTGAGATATGAAGGTAGTTATAGGGGAGGCTTGTGTTCATCAGTGGACAGTTAACGGCTGATATGATGACGTTTTATTCCGGTTAATCAATATGATCTTGGCCATACAGATGAAATCGCTGGTAGATATATTGAGTCTGATATGAGAGAAGATATTGACTATGATCAGCTGCCCTAGCTGTAATACCATAGTAAGTACTATAGATACTTTGTACATTGTAACGTGATGTAAGTGACATTTAATAAGTTGTTTGTTTTTTCTATATAAATACACTTCGTATTAAGTGGGATTTATGGGCTCCTCTTTCTTATATTGTCAAAGTTAATTGATACCGTCTCAATATTTAATGTTTTTTTTTTTATTTGTCATCTGCATCATGCAACAACGTGCAGAATATATCAGCTATCAATTTCGCCATGCACGTTAAAATACAACGTGACATAGAATGAGCCTACTATCATTACTCGAATTAATTAGATTTATTAAAAAAGTTTACAATCATCAGAATTTGTTAAAAATTAAAAATCAATACGACGTTATTATTATAGTAAAATACAAAGACATTACGTGTAAATAACAAAATATATGGTTTAATACCTAGCTACTTACTTAATTTAAGCAATAAAACAACATTGTTCTTTTCAGTTGCACAGCAGGAATTGATATTTACTAGGTAGATGTCTACTTAAACGAGTTTAGAATGTACCTTTCTCAGTTAAGTATTATTATTACAATATTGTATTAGTTATTAGATAAGTAGCTATTTAAAGTTTTAGAAGTTCAAAACTTTAGTGCAATGAATACAGTATGATACGTGATAATTACTGCGAAACACAGTAGCAGGAAATGTTAAGTAAATATCTGTTCAAAACACAGAACAATGGTGTAAACCGCAGCGCAGTTACTTCTCAGAATTGTTCCACTTACTCTATCCCTGCAACATCTGCTATAAAAACAATAAATAAGCGTATAAACATTTATCAAGCATATGACCACACAAAAACAGGTAGCGACGTTCAAGCGCACCCTATCTACCCAATTTATTTCACATCCGTTGTATTAAATTACTAAATTATAAAAAACGGAACTCACAAGGAGACTGGTTGCACGATTGATCGTCAGATGCGTCCAATTCAACCCTCCAGTAGTCAGGTAGTTAACCCACAAAGTTTACAAACGAAGGGTCCGCACGACAATAGAAGCTCATTGCAATTTTTTGTCACATTTCACAGTCCAACCGCAGAAGGTGGTGTGGTGGCAAGCATCGAGACAGGTGAATAGATTAGTATACGCTTCCACACTACAATAGACGCACTGTACAGGCTATAAACAGTTAATAGTTGTTGTCAGACGAATGTTATTGCCATAAGAAAGTAGATACAGTGTCGGTGTCACATGTCCACACTGGATTTGTCACATAAACTCACTAGTCAGAGTTTTTTCACTGTAATCCACTTAGTCTGGAACGTGTTTCACTTTAGGTTTTAGAAGTGTGGCAACACTACGCGAAGGCTGCGTACGCGCAGATGGCGCGCGACTAGTGGGAGTAGAGCGCGCGTACTACCGCGCCCGCGCCGTCAGAGGCAGGCAGTAGCGCTCCCGTGGCGTCCCCTCCACCACACGCCGCCAACCGAAGCCTCCTACCATACCGTTTTTTCTTTAGAAGCAGTAAAAAAGGGAAGGATATCGCTGAATTGTTTATTTTTCGTGTTAGTAGCTTATAAGTCGTGTAAATTAACGCCGCCCTCGAGTTGGGTGGACGATCATGAATTTCACTTATAGTTGTTAATCATTAAATGTAAACTTGTTTATAAAATATTTGATTTTGATAATTTCTTTATACGCATTTTTCAAATATTTATCGAAATATTTATTTCCATTTATAAATATGTACTAGCTAGGTACCTAGCTAGTTGTTTATTAGATATCAGGTAATATCAAGGATAGATAAATTCGCAATGTAGACTACTGACTTAGATTATATAGTGTCTCGATACAAAAGTTTCATCATGAACAGGTTAAAGGAGGATAAAGCATTGAAAATAGCCAATATTTTAAATAATACATGTATATTAATTTATAAGTAATACCTATTATGTATATTTATGTTATATCAGAAAAAATAGATCCCAATCCTTAATTAAAAATTCGATCCAAATCTGGAAAATTTTGAATCCAATTATATGCAACAATCAGAAAATTGCGACTTATTTTGATTATTTTTTATAATTAAAAGATTTTAAAGAAATGGTTAATCGTCCAATTAGCTGACAACATTTTGGTCCATTTATTGTCACTCGATGGTCTGTCTATATAATCTAAGACTGCTGGTTATAGAATAAAATAAAAATGGTTACAATTTTGCATATAAGTAAAATGAAACATTATTTTTATTTTATTTTTTATACTTTATTACAACGAAATCTATACATATGGTCACATATATATTTAAAAAATCGTCTATATAGACGTTAAATTATTTTCTTTGTCCCAAATGCATCATACTCTCCATATACATACTTATAAACAATAGAATATTAACAAAATTAACAGTGCATAAAAATTATATTTAAAACTTAATCTAATTTTGGCAATTTCGTCATTAGAATTCGCTTATCTTTGGCATCCGTTTAAAATTTAAAAATCAATTAAATTTTAAAACCTTTCAATCCTGGATTACTTATTTATTGAACACATTAATAAGTATCTATTTATTTCTTTACTGATGATAAATCTATGAATTATCAATAGACAATACTATATTCTTATAACGGGAATTTATAAACCTGCGACAATTTAAACAAAACTTCGACAATTTTAAATATCTATAATTTTAAACACTCACTAGTATACAAGGCTACTCTATAATATAAGCATTTATCGTTTTTGTTTATTTTCAAGTCTTTTTATTTTATCATTTAAGTATATTTGAGCTTTTACCTGATTATTTATATACATACCATCGACGTGATTTTTAATCCACTATTATTTATTAGTTTAATGCACAATTTTAAGTCACCTAGTATGGACCACATTCTAAGGGGAAATAGTAAGTACTGTATCATTTTAACAAATAATTAAATTACATATATCTTCTTTTATATTAATGTGATTATGCGTTTCTGTAACCCTTTCAAAATCAGTAATATTTACAACGATGTGTAGGAAATCATTTACAATAAATGTAAGCATTTTAAATAATAAAGTATTCAAAAATTCACAACACTGATGGTAATCACATTGAAATGTGACAAGTGAAAGTGAAAAGGGTTACAGATAAAAGACAAAGTTACTTATAAGAAAATGGATCGTGCTTTTCAATAAAGTCAAAAACACTAACTACATTTTTTTATTCTAGTTACCAGGCTTTGGCACATACATAATTTACTTTAACAATATACTAATTAATAACTACGTTTCACATCTAATATTAAATATTACCTACTGTAATAGGAATATTATTTCTGCTTATTATTATATAATTATTATTAGACATAATATTTAACAAAATAACCGAATTTATATTGGTTAAAATTTAAACAATTATAACATTAACGTAATTTTTTGATATAACTATATCTATAATAATAATCTGAGATAAACTACAATTGTTCAATAGTTTAGCTTAGATTACAATTAAACAAATATAATCTAATAAACAAACTAAATTTCCATAAAACTAAAACATCTATTAGACATTTTTCGCGTTCAGTTAATTTTACAAACATTACTTGCGTGTTCCTTATAATGTTAATTGTGCATTTCCTATCATCACTTCGATCTTTAAACTTGACTTCTCTCAATACAATAAGTATTTACTATTGCAGTTTATTCTTCCACATTAATATTCATACGATTTTGGTTTTATATACATATTCATATATTTCATCGACTCTCTCTTTATTATTCGACGTTTATATTTTAGTCTCATTTTTATCAGTCATATGTCAAGTATAAAAAAGACTTTATTATTACTTGGTTATTAAATCTCTAATATGATATATTTTTAAACATCTATTTAGAATAACATAGGTAAAGCTATGCTTTTAATCATATATAATTTTCGATGCGTCGTTGCAATGTCATTATTCCTGTAAATTTGTATCAGTTTTTTAAAACTGTAACAATTTGTAATTTAAACTATTCTTTTCAATATTAAATCATGTATATATTTTTTATAATAATCAATTTATATTTTCATAATTTAGGGAAGGTGTTATCTGAATCTGTATAATAAGTTGCTTGTGCCAGAAAATCAAAACAATCATCTGGCCTTTAACCTAGCATAGTGTGCTTTTAGAAGACACAAATACAATCGAGAAATTCCAGACCAAAGCCAGTTTAGAAGATTTTGTTTCGTTAAGTACGCTGAAGGATTAAAAAATGAAATTTAATTTCAAACGAAGTAAACAACGTTACTTCTATATTATGATGTTATTAAAAGTTAACAATAACATAGTTTTGTGAACAAAGATATATATTAAATAAATACATGAAAAAATAACAGAAATAAATTTATTCTGTAATTAGATTGGTACTGTTAAAATCATTTTTGATAATTTTTCTAGCTAAGTAAAATACTGTACTATGAATATATATTCTGCGTATTGGTTATCTACGTTTTTATTTTATATTTTGTCTATAATTCATGGACTGGTAATGAATCTAATTAAATATATTCATTATTTTTTAACTTATTATATTTAATTCTGTATATGTTACTTACTTATAAACTCACGTTATTGTTTTTTTTTTTTATTGGATAAAAAAGATTACGGGTCGTTTGGATTTTATTCATATATATTTTATTATAACATACTTTTACACAAATATCAACTGTTTAATAACTTTCCTTCATGTTTCGTGATTTAGAGACTTTGCTTTTTATTGTTAATTACTTATTAAAAATATGGGCATTAGTTTAATTCCGTTTCTTTTAATACAACGGCTTTAAGGTCTGGGTTGTTGTTGAGCTTCCTAAAATATAGTAAATATGATGGTTGGCTCATTCATGTACGGCTGCTGCTAATGGAATTGTTACTTTAAATAAAAAAAAATGTGATAGTTGGTAGATATTGAAATTTAAAAATTATTTTGTGAAATAATTGTTCTCTACAAACAAAAGAACTTGTAATGATTAGTAATTAAATATTTTTTTAATTATCGCTTATTTATATTTCAAAAACGAAATTATTTGATCTTTTGCAACTTTTGTGTTGAAATAAACAATTAGATACATAAACTAAGTTCCATCAAGTAGAATTATTTGCATTTTATTTTTATCATCTAAAACTAATATGATGAGTATTCTACTTTTTAGAATGTTGATCTGATTGCTTTTACTTTTTTTAGAATCTTTTTTACATATATATTGTAGGTCATGAACATGTTTTTTTTATATTACATCAATAGTATAATATAGTTCTCGTCTGATATCATTGATTGGAATACCTTTATAGAATACAAATATACATTATTTCTAAAAACCTGTCTACATATACGTTTATGTAGCAGACATACTTTGGCAACTTCTATAGGTATATAAGATGAAACTAAAACCATTAACTACCTTTTAGGGGTGTATAAATCTATCAGGGAAATTTGAAAATTTGTCGAAACGAAATTAAATTTGTAAAACGATAAATATTTTCGGAGTGTCCCGTATTAAATTAACCATTCAGAGTTGAATAAGAAGCACTTTAGAAAAAATGTTCAGTTTCATAGGTAGAATACTTTCTTACAAATAGGTATGGTTTCGATGGTGGAAAAAAATTATACACTCATTTCGATATCGCCCGTACCAGTCAGATATCTATTTCGATCGAGTTTTTCAATTCAGTGTATACATAGATATTGTGAATAAAATAAACATTAACATGTGCATGTGATTTTTTTTAATTATACATGTATTGTTAGTGGGCTTTAATAAATAAATAAATAAAATATATAAATATTGCTATATATTATCTATCCTTACTTAAAAATTGAGATTTCACTCAGCATATTACAATGTTATTTTTTTTTATTTCGATTATTGTATTGATTGATCATGTAATTAATATAGTTATTACTGCAAATATTAATTAACGAGCTCATAATATATCAAAAAACATTAAGGATAATTTAAATAGATACGTGGGAATTTCGATTGATTGATTCGTGAACAGTCTCTATACAGAGTCGTGTCGAAAAATTTGTTCTGCTCGGTTGACTTTGAAGACGAACTCGAGAAACGAATGTATTTTTAATCGAATTCAAAACAAGATGAGTTTCTCTTCTCAACTGTATTTTTTTATATTTGTTATGCGATATATTAGTATTAATGAACCGATTTTAATCATTGCTTTTTTATAACTGTTCATATACGAGTATTAAACAAATTGGTCTCATACAATTTTTTTATCGATTAAGATTTTGCTAATAGTGCCTTATATCTCATGTTGGTTCACGGGTTTAACACGGGAGTAAATAATATCAAAATAATATGTGTAATGAGAATTTTTTGTACTTACTACGTTTCTGACAATTGCTTCGAAACTTCTGTTATACACATATACTGACTTCGCTAAAAATGAACGAACATGTCTTAAAAATAATTATAAAAATTGCTAAAGACATCGTGTAATACATGCATAAAAAAGGCAAACTGAAACATTCCTTTTTTAAAGTAGCTTATAAAAATTATTACGTATATAGTGGATACCTATACTTGGGTTGACAGGAAAACCCTATGAATTGCATCCAGTGTCTATTACTTGAGGAAATACTGTTATAAACATTTAATTAATATTGGAATGCGTAATTAATTATTGCTATAGGTATATTTGTCATAAAAAATGCTTTTACAAAAATTATTATGTCTAAATAGGATAATTTTTGCCTTTTTATACTTCATTTTTTATAATTTAACTATCTTGATATTAAAATATATGGATACTGATTGCATGTTGGAATTGTTTATTATTGGCACTTGATGAATATGAACATTTTGGAATTTAGATTATTCTTGGCAAATGACTTTATTTTTATTATTACTTTTGATAATATCGTAATATGTGTATAATAAAATAAAAAACTGTGAAAGAGTTGTCATATACGAGTATAAAAATAATATTATTTAATTATTTAAAAATAATATTGTTTGTAATTGATCTGAGTTCTGGGGGCTGCTTTCCCATTGTATCGAATTGAGATTAAATCAAAATATCGAATAAACGTCAAATATAAGAAAAGGCAACGTCAAGGGGAGAGAAGGGATTTTTAGTGATGGGAATTAAAATCTCATTGCTAGCAATATAATCTGTCAGGTCGCTTTTCTCACGGTTCCCCCTGGAAACCATCAATATTGGTTTATTGTTGAATTTGTCAGAATAGGCTAACTGATCAGCTTCATTCTCACCTATCATTCCTTACCAGTGCCATGCAAGTGTATATCGTTAGTGCAGCTGAGGTTATTTATTTATTTATTCTTATTGCGAATCTTCATTACTTATAGAATAATATAAAACAATGTATATATAATTCCATTTCATTATATATAAAAAAGTAAAGTCGATTTGACGTTTATTTGATCACGTCAAAGTCACCTAGTTTATACTCCTATGACGTAACCATTTCATTCAATCTGGTGGTCATTAATAAAATAAAGTTAAATGCAGCGTATGTAAAATCTAATTCTTTGGTATTCTTTGTAAGAAGTATTCAACAAATGAAACTGAACATATTTCTCAAAGAAATATTTGTAAAAAAAAAATCTCGTACAATCTTGACTGCTGTACGAAAGGAATGTTCACAAATTGTTTGTCATATTTCCACTTTAAATTTTTATGACTACGATTCTTTACTACTTACGGAAATACACTTAAAAGAATGGTAACAATTTTGATTTCACCCTGTATACTTCTCGTCCAGAAACTGTATAAACGATTCTATTAAAATACAATAAATTAATTAACTATAATAATATAGTATAATTATTATGTCATTTTCATAGTATTCATCTAAAGTGTACCAGGTCAAAATAACAGAAAACATATTTAAAAAAGAAATAAAATAATTTAATGAAACTATTAATTAGACGTCGAATGAATCATCTGGAGTGATGTGTCGTCGTCAACCGGCCTTCATCCATCGGTCTATTGAGTACTCTAGGGCTGCCATCCATCTAAAACAAAAAAAGAACATGTCGATGTAATTTAAAACATAAAGACCACCATGACAGTTTCTTTTAATAGATGTTAATAGAATGGTAAACCTGCCGGCTGAGGGGAAGGGATTGTTAGTAATGCGTCTAGCAACCAAGCCAACTATATACTGTCAGATCAAACTCCTGGTGGTCTTCCTAGAAAGTACCGTGATTAATTTCAGGTGAATTCATCACGATGAACTAACTGACCTGTCTTTTCATCCTATTGTCCCTCACTTGGGGACAAGTGAATAGGACGTCAGCATATATCTTTATAAGCGAGGTTATCATTCCATTATCACCCATTAATAAAGTCCACTGGTGCTATCATTATTCGCTGGTGGGGCACTAATGAGTGATGATAGGTGAGAATGAAAGCAGTTTAGTTGGCCCATCGTGACGAATTCAAGAATTGGCGGTAGTGGTTTTCAGAGGAAATCGCGTGGAGGTCGATCTGATAGGGTATAGTAGTAGCAATGAGGCTCTGAGACCCCATTACTAACAATCCCTTTCTCCGCACAATGATAGTAGTAGGTCGATAGTCATTATTCATAAAGACCGACCTGGCCTTTTTCATAGTTCCTATCTACAATTAAAATCAAATTAATCGTACTACCAAAGTAAACTGGAAATAAAATGTACTAATTGCCCAACTTGTTATAAATAGATTATGTCGTCCTTTTATGGGAAGAAACTCATACTCAATAATGAAATATTAGGTAGTCTAAGAGAGAGGAATTTGTTGGTAATAAAGTCTAGAGACATCCTAGCTATATATCACTATAATAATACATCTAGTTTGACTTCCGTACAATATATTTCTTTAAAGACGTGGTTAATTTCTCGTGAATTCTTCGAAATGTATTTATCAGATAGCAAATAGAGATTAGCATAGCCTATAAACACTTGCAATACCAAGGGACTTGCAGACCCCAGAGACACCACTTTAGTCCTTTTTTGAAGAATCCAATATTGGTTTGATGAATCTCACCTATCCATAAATAAATGCGTCGTTATAACCAAGTATCTATCCTACCTCTTTCTGTCCATTTCAGACTCTGTATGAAAGTAGAAGTGCCGCTGTTTCGTTTCCGTGGGCATCACCTCGAACGCATACTTCTTGCCGCCCGGTGCACACGTCTGTATCCTGTACCCGTGGAGGCACGCCATACCTAATAAAGAGAAGCAAGTAGTAACCTCGTTATCAAAGAATTACTGTTACATCCTTCTATGGAAATACCTGATAATAAAGTACATTTACCTCAAAGATAAAAAGGTACAAAGCTAGTGACACACATTAGTCGTATCGCAAGTATCCACAATTCCAATCAATGTTATGTTTTTAACACATTACGGACATGTTAATAATCATACAATGCTAATATACATAGATATACTTCAAATTTTTCATCAATCAATCAGGATGATTATTTTTTTATACAACTTAAAATGACAAACAAGCTTACGGCCCATTAAGTGTAGGTAGTAACCATCGTCTATGTACATGAATATACGTGACGCCTATGGTACTCGAGCGTTCCTATTCCTGAAGGCTAAGATGTTCTTGCAATAAAATTGTACCGTCATACCCACACACATAGTCGTATCTAACAGCTGTTTAGTGATAGAAATATTAATGGGACAGAGATATGCAAGCAGAAGATATTTGTAGTAGTAAGTAGAATATAAACCGTATGGTCCTGGTAGAGAATAAGCTACCTCTTTTTTCCCGTGGGCGTTGCAAGAAGCAAATAAGTTTTAGTTTTCAAGGAGGTTACTAAGGAATTTAGTGTTCAAGGTATGGACAGTAGCATCCTTGAAACGTCACTAAAGCCTAATTGCGGTTACCAATCCACCTGTCAAGCGTGACAACTACTGGAAAACCCCCCTAAGGGGTTCTACTTCATGCTTACAATGGCCTAAATGAGAGGCTTAGTACGAAAAAAAGAATCCAATTTACAATTTATATTACGCCCCCCTCCCCCCCAGAGGGAGGCTTATATTCAACAGTAGACAGTTAACGATTAGCATGATGATGATGATGAAAATTAGGTACATACCAAATGCACTCTTGCTATTCCCGTCATTGTAGAAATACAAGCAAGCGTCTTTTAACACGCAGTATCTCTTCGCCCATGACTTCCATTTCGAGCCTAATTTCATCAGATATCCGAAGCAGTCAGGCCGTGGAATGGACGATGGTGGCAACTTCATATTCCTCATTGTAACTTCTAACCAGCCATCACGCTAATATAAAAAAAAAAATAGTAAGATCAAGAAAAATAAGAACTTAATTATTTTGCTCCTGAAATAACAAAACCACACTACGTATTCAAATAGTAAGAAAAGTAATATGAGATCAATTCAGGAACTATGGATTGTAAATAATATCGAAATCGGTTCAGAATACATTATTTATTTGAAGAACTTGAGTTAAAATCGATATTTATGACATCATGAAGTCGAAAGTATATAAAATTTATGGACAGCATTTCGCCAACGTCCATACCACGTTGAAAACACCGGTTCTCGTCCGATCACCGAAGTTAAGCAACGTCGGGCGTGGTCAGTACTTGGATGGGTGACCGCTTGGGAACACCACGTGACGTTGGCTTTTTTGCCTCGATTATTTTATTTAATCTCATTTTTATTACAGTCCTAAATTTTAAAAGTTTACCGATCAAAATATTATTCTATATATAGTTTTAAAATTCTAATCTGCTCTATAGAATATATTTTTTTTAACCGGAAAATAAATATTGATTGACCGGTATAGAAAGTAACCTTTTCCCTAGGTATGCTCTACTCGAAATTTTACATATATATCATATTTCATGAATTAGTCAATAAGTAATAATATAACACTTAATAATAATAATTATTATTATTAAGTGTTATAATAATTATCTATATTTCGTGGCTTCGCTTGCTTGAATCAGAATGTGACGTATTCTCTACGTTAAGTTAGAATGTTAAGTTGCCCGTGTGGTTCCGGCATAGAATAAACCACCCAATGATGGCAAGGGATGAGCAGCAGAGTCCCTTTTAAAACATCTCTAAATCCTAACTGCGGTTGCTAATCCGCCTGCTAAACATGGCAAAACCCTCATAAGAGGAAAGCTTATGTTCAGCAGTGGACGGTTAAGGGCTGATATATTGATGATGATGATGAAGTTAGAATGTGATCTATCCGTGTACAAAATTTCGTTCAAATCCGTTCAATAGCTTTTACATGAAAAAGTAACAAACATCTTTACATCCGTAACAAACTTCGCGTATATAACAATAGTAGGATAATTACTCGTATTATAATTTATTATTTACTTTTAACTTAGGTTTGGTACATCTACTGAAAGTATAGACATGGCGTTAATTTGAGTTATGGAGTTTGAAAAGGCGCGCCATCTAGTGGTTATATTTATAGAATTAACCTTTACCTGGTTACTGGCATCAATAGCATGTGCAAGTACAGCACGCCATCTAGCGGCTGCCTCAGCAGCATCAGCGGCCAGTTGCAGTCTTGTACCGCCACCGCGCTGTAATCGGAACCCATGTGGCCTTCCTACGTCTTCTTCTGATAGTTGATAATTTACAAGCATTAGAGCGCCTACTGGATGTATACTCTGCAAATAAAAAATAATAATTTAAATATTTTTTAAAATAATATCGGGACTGTTCTTGTCATTATTTTTATTTGTAACTGTATATTATCAGACAGGTCTTATGCTTTTTTAATATCTCCATTTGATTTAATAGTATATATATCTTCATAGTATTAGTAGTCATGATAGTTTTATTGTCTGTGCCGATAGGTACTATTATTTCTTGATATGAAGTTGCCAACGTCCATACCACGTTGAAAACACCGGTTCTCGTCCGATCACCGAAGTTAAGCAACGTCGGGCGCGGTCAGTACTTGGATGGGTGACCGCCTGGGAACACCGCGTGATGTTGGCTTTTTGCCGTTATTGCATATGATCTTTCTATATTTTTCCGGAACTGCTAATTTTTACAATTTCTATGGATCTAACACTTTTTTTATAAATTATAAGGAGGAGGAATTATAAATCATAATAAAAAATTATAAAATAGGGATATCAAGAGTGTTTTAAATTATTACACACTCAATTAGGTAATTATTATTTTAGTGTACAATATATAAAAATCATAATTATAAACATACCTACATATATTCTAAGAAAAGTACCTAACATAACTCCAAAAATATAAAATTATGTAATAGTATGTATTAGTACTTTTAAATAGTGTAAACCTATTCAAAGTTAAGAATTTTATTAAATCTTAAAAAAAGTCTTGTTAAACTAAGTACCGAATCTGTCTTGTAGTAGTAAAGGCAGTTGTCCTTCTTCAAGACAAACCATCTTCGTGTCCACCGAGGCGGATGGTGAGGTCTCACAGGTGCTGCCCGCCACAAATATCCTGAGTACAAAGCGGCAGGTCCACTTTCGTGGGCTAATGAGGCAACCACTTCGCATGTTCTTGCCACCTACCGTGAAAATGTAATTAGCATAGTGACAATTAGATATGGTTATTAACCTAAACCGATTCGGGGAAGAAACTTGGGTTAATGATCTCAAGCTATAACAACAGGTACATTTAGTTTTGCTTAGCAAAAAAATCGATTATGAATAAACTGATAAAATATGATGGATAATAAATAATATTAGAACAGATTGGAGATGTTAGAGAATTTTCGTGAATCGAAACTGTACTGTACTGTGTGTGTTTATTTACTTACATCCAATTCAAGTATTTCCGATCCAGAATGAGCTATTTTTACTACTTCCGAATGAGTCTTATCTAAAACATTGATCCCTGTAAAATAATAAGATATAATAATTATATTATAAAAAAATATTATTGTATATAGTTATTACAGTTAGAGAAATTGCTATAACGGATTTATAATAAATCCGTTATAGCAATTGAGCATCCGACCCCGGCCTTCAAAGTCACTGCAATTTCTAATTATTATCCCCTTCACAATTGCAATGTTCTTCTTACCCTTCCCCATAAGCCTTAATTTCTTTTTTACCAAGTTCTTTAATTCAATCCCAACATTTCCCTCGTTTTACTCAATTATTTTCTTCATATTATAGGTGGCGGATACAATCAACAATCAACAGTTGTATTCCCAAAGAAGGTTGACGTTATGAAGGCGATTGTTCGTGAAACCAAAAGTCAAAATTTTGGATAATATGAATACTGTCATATTACGTCGATCCCAAATAATTGGGTTAAGGGCAAGATTATTTTGATAAGTGCGCATATAGGAAATAATACACGTTTGTAGCGTATATTATTCTAAATCTAAATTTACAACCAATAAAATTTTATAAGACACCATAAATTGTCTTTTATATTTACCATTAACTGCTATTACTATGTCTCCAACTTCTAAGCCCGATGTCTCGGCCGGTGTGTCGGGCTCGATCGCTGATACTACGACTGGCTTGCTCCCATGGATCCTGAAGCCGAACTCTTCATTGCCACGTCTGACGACGACTGTCTTGTCGCTTTCTGTGACCAAATTATCTCTATAACTAATACTGTATAGTACTTCTGTGGTAGAGTAAGATATAGTAGTTACAGAAGTTCCACAGATAATAGAATAATATTTAAATAAAATAAAATTATTTTGAAAATTTTAAATAGAAGATGGATTAGATATTAAAGTAAAATATTAGATACATATTTACAAAAACCTTTGATAACAACATTAATAATATTAAGAACACTATCTAATATTTCAATTGTTTTTCATTTGCTAAGCTTTAACAGTATTGAACTATTTTAGACATCGAGTAGTGCGTTATGGTAATACCATAGAAACCTGTTTATCTTTACAGCGTAGCTAATCAAGTCTTAAAACTTCTTTCAATATGGTTATCTAAAACGTAAATAGTGGCCTACAGACGGTTGTAAAAATGAGAAAAAACCGACCATGACATACATTCGTGCACTTGATATTTAAAATGTGCGTTTGCTCGCAAAATTACTTTCTCTAAAATATTTTGGCATTGTTCCAATATTTTAAAAGCTATGTTCATTCATACCATATGATATTGCCTTCCTGTAATAGACGTAATATGTATGGTAAATAAACAATGCATAAAATAATAGGCAAAATTTTATTTCTATTTTAAAATTAATTTCTTCAGACGAGATGACTTTTGTTAAGGCTGTACATAAACAAAAAACATTTAAAAGTAAGAAATATCATTATCATCATTGTCTTTATACCCTTATAACAATTATTATTTGCGGGCGTCATATATATATATATACTGTCGTAATATATTTTTCTCTTCCATTCTTCTTCATTCGTAGTCATTTCCGCATTCACTCCCATTGTGGTCATATAATTTTTCACACAATTCATTTACATCTAATAGTAAAGTAAAAATATGATCATCATATTCGCCGTTAACTGTCCACTGCTGAATATTAGCCACCCTTATAAGAGGGATTTTGCCAGTAGTTGCTATGCTTAGCAGGCGGGTTGGCAACCGCAGTTAGGCTTTGGTGATGTTTTAAGAAAGACGCCGCTACCCATCCATTAACTATTAATTCCCTTAGTTCCCTTAGTCGTCTCTTACGACACTCACAGGAAAGGAAGAGGTGGCCCATTCTATGCTGGGACCACACCGCGAAAGTAAGAAATATAATCATATCAAAAACATCGTTTTGATAACAAAAAAAAAATAGTGTACCCCATAAACCGCTTATACATTATATTATACCATATATGGTCACTACGGATGTCTAGGTCCATGTATTCACACTGTACTTAGAGTGATTACTCTTGAAATCATTAAAAATAGTTAGAATTAATTATATATAAAGATAAATAAATAAAGGCTGAGTCTGTATATATATATATATATATATATATATATATATATATATATATATATATATATATATATATATATATATATTTTCTCTATGGTCTTTCAATCGAACTCCAAAGTAGTGATGAGAATCTGTTTTCAAGGTTAAGCCAATTGCGGTAGATTATTTTAGGCTAAATACAAATAGCAAGTCTATAAACAAATGTACGTAATACGGATTCTGCTAGTTTATTAATCTTTGTGTTTTTTACATTAATCGGTTTTAATGTTAGAGATCACCGTATACGATCTATCTAAGCAGCTTAATCACAGGCTCTAAGTTCTATAATTGTCATTTAATAGTATCTTAACCTGTACAACAGAGTCAGTATAGAGTTATTTACGACCTATCTCAGATTCGCACAGATGTTTTTATCATTTAATTTACTTATTTAGGATGTATTGTATATAAATATGCACAAACCAAGGATAGTAAAAATATTAATTGTCAGATAAACATGCCTACCTAAGCGAAGAAACATATAGATGCAGACAGTGACTTTGTTTCATATTACTTAAAGATATCTATATAAATTCATACATACGATTATGTTCTTAAGAAATAATAAATAACAAATGAAGAACAGAAAGAAAAATAGAAGATATAGGACACCAAAAACTGGTGCCGGTAACAACGTTACAAACGAAGCAAAATTAAATAAAAGAAATATTCAGACAAGTTTTGAATTTTTAGATTTATTGGGTTAGATATTCAAAGATTATTTATATTTAGTGTCCTAAAATTATTTTACTGCCTAGAATAACAAGTTTATTAATGTAAAATCGTAGTAGCGATAAAAAATAAAATATTGCCATTTTACCACAAGGTTCTGCAGCTACAAGTTTATTTACTTGACACTGTCGACACCAGAGCACCAACATCAGTTTGAAGATTTCTTCCAATTTTTGTCTGAGGCTCCCCTTTGGGCTTGTTAATACGTCTTTAACTAAAAATAAGAAAACAAAACAAGAAGATAGATAAAAATGAACTAAACAAAACTGAATATGAAATAAAAGTTACAAGAGTTGGAATATACAAAAACAATTGTAAAAGTAGTGAAAAACTAACAAAATTACTTACAAGAATGCCCCATGCTGTTCTCTTATTCAGTACGATCTTGAACTTCGCGTTACGTTGACCCGATTGTCACACAATTAAATTTCCACGCGTACACTGTATTAAAATTACGTCACCCACAACATAAGTAATTTGTCTAAACAGGCTCGTAGTAATACAAAATCAATACAAGACAAACCGTTCACCACGTCAGACGTAAAAATATCATCTGGCCGCAGTAGCGTGTCGTCAACAACTGAGATCTGACGTTTGGAACGCTTCAAAATTAAATTTAGTCTGCTTGAGTGCCGTTCGGTGCGTTATCAGCTAACGATTTCAGAGTGGTGCTTTTACAGGAATCCATTTTAACCCAGTCTTAGATATTGGTCTTACTACACAAGTTTAGAAAATTTGAAACTCTAATAGATATTGATGAAATTTTAACAGATATAGACAAATTCATTAATAATAACTGATTATATCAGTATCGAAAGCGGAGAAAAGATCGAAAGTATTCAGGGGACAATCTTAAAATAATAGGTGACGCTATTTAAATAAAGAGAGTACCAGAAATAGTTTGCACGTCACAGTTTAGAAGTAGAACAGTTAATGCACGCGTTTAGTCAGACGTAATGACGTAACTGCTAGTGCAAAACGTTAAAAGTGTAATAAGGGGAATGAAGGACACGCACGCAAATGTATAAAAAATAATTGCTTCCTAGAACAGACAGGCATTCACTTTGTAATTAGCTGCTGAAATGTTGTTGTAACAAACAGCACAGGTATAGATATATTGTGATTGGCATGCGCTAGATTGGATATGAATGACCTGTAACACCTACTGACTGATTGATAATAAAATGCTATTGTAATTTTTTTGTTGTTTCTTATGACACATAAATTAGTTACATGGTCATTATTGATACCTACTTATTATTAAAAAAAGTTGTAGTAAAAAATTAAAGTTAACAAAGCTATTTGCAAAAGAGCATTATGATTTCCTTCCTAACGTCAAATAAAAAAATTATTAATGATGTTTACTGTTGGCATTTGATGTACTTGTTATAATTGGAATATAAGAGGTGCCTTTTACAATTAATAAAAAAAAAGTATTTTATGCAATAAAATATAAAATAGAGTTACTCACAAAATCCGACTTTACTTGTGGCAAAATCAGTTATTTCGATTTAAAAACTAAACTACTGAACCGATTTTGATAAGATTTCTATAGGACTAATCTGTAAGTGTATTCTTCCAGGTAAAAAGAAGGAAAGTAGAATTTTCCAAATTGGTTTATAATTGACGAAATTATGAGGTAGCAAAAAAAAAAAACTGCCGAATTGAGAACCTCCTTATTTTTAAAGGTTGAAAATTAAACAAATACAATTAATGAAAATTGAACAAATAATGGGTTGTAAATTAAACAATGTCTGTGTTATCTACTTGTATTAATTTTAGAAATCTCTTTTTGATAGTTCATGAGCTAAAATTCAAATGTCTCACTTCTACGACTTTAGTTTAAATGTTTGTGTAGGTTGACTGACTTCCGATTTCATAACATTTGGCACATGATATTATATTGGTTGTCCTTTAACAGCACTGTCAACACCTAACATTGTTTGTCATTTTAAAAAACATACACACATTCACAAAACACTACATACTGTCAAATATCTTCCGTGTATAGACATTGATATAAAAACATAATAAAATAGTAGATACTTATTGGAGATCAATTGACTCTCATTCATAAGACTATCTTTGTCAAAAGCAGTGGTTAAAATCGTTACTTTATGATTATGTCAATAAAGACTATTCTCAATTACTTGGTCAACATGGTCATCAACACGGTTGCCCGTACGCAAAATCTTTAAAAAGGTTTATAGTCGGGGGTTCTTTGCATGATAAAATCCGAAATGAGGATATCCGCAGAACCAATGTAACCGACATAGCCCGTAGGATAAGTAAGCTGAAGTGGCAATGGGCTAGCCGCATATCTTGAAGAACCGACAACTCGGGATAGATTCTTGAGTAGCGATTCCGTACGGGCAAACATAATAGGACCCCCATTAGTTGGAGTGACGACCTCAAATGCATTGCAGGGAGTTAGTGGATGCAAGTGCCTCAGGACCGTTCCTTATGACAATCTATGAGGGAGGCCTATGTTCCGTAGTGGACAGATATAATGATGATGATTTTTAATTACTTACCAAATGTGTTATCCGCCTGTCGCCTATTTAGTTCAATACAGGCACGCCTGTGCACAAGTCTATGTGTCAGAGCCACGTATCTCTTATTGAATTCGGTTTCCGATTCTGTTGGGTCTTCTTTGGCGTTATCAGTCGTGTCTAATAGATCTGTAATAATTTTATTTATTTTAATACAAGCCTACAATTCTATGATATTTATATTCCGAGCTTTTAAATATACGATATTTTAATTATACAAACCTAAATCTAAAAATTTTATTATAAATTAAAATACAACGTCACAAAAGCGCAAGTTAGATTGAATAAATCAATCTACTGTTTGATCATTGATCTCAGTCTAAACGATTTTTATATTTCATAATTAGCCATTCGTGTATTAGTGTATATACAAAAATAATAACAATACTTGCCTGGTGGGATTCTTGTCCAGTTATCGTCGTTTTCAGAAAGTAGTATCCAGTTTCCACACCACCACGGCGCAGCATAAACGCCTTTTTCTTCGCGACCTCCATCAGCTCCTTCCGAGCTACCAGAACACTCTTCATGTTCTACAGGTTTTTAAAATTTAAAAATGAAATTTTTAGTGTTTTTATTAGTATTTATAATATAATTAATAAGTATATAATAATATTAATAAATATAATATTATTTTATTATCTTCATGGAAAATGAAAACAATTTGTCGTCTTTGTATTTTTCAAGGACTGTCAGCCCTTTATTTCCTAATCTGAGTTAAATTCGATATTACCATTACCTACTCTAACTCAACCTGCTATAAACAAAACAATCTTAATAGCCAATTTCGATCATACAAGCTCTTATCGTATAACTTTAACATTTTATCAAAAACGACGTTTCTAATAGCATTAAAAAACAATGTTTCTTTATGTCCATTTATCATGGTAGCCCCTGTCGAAATAATCACTGCAATATATCTCATATGACAATTCATAGATAAAATTTTGTAAGGAGAAAATTTCGATTAACTTTTAATGAATGATTACATGATGTTTTTAGTTTATTTTAATAATGTTAAATATATTTTATTATTATTTTAGCCGTTTACTGTCCAGTGCTGAACATAAGCCTTGGCCATAAAGTGAGTTATGTCAGTAGTTGCCACGCTTGACAAGTAGCTTGGCAACCGCTGCTAGGCTTTTAGAGATGTTTTAAGAGAGACGCTGCTGCCCATCCTCCACCTTCTCTTAATCGCCTTTTACGATACTCACGTGAAAGAAAGGAGGATGGCCTATTTTATGCAGAGACACTCGGCGAATAAATTATTAATACATTTATAAATAATAAAAAAAATGCAAACCATCGGGATCTGCACTTGAACCAGCTAATTTATCCAAACTGTTTCCAGCGGAACGTGCAATTCGTGTATCTGCTGGTTTTTCATTAGCTGCATATTCTTCTTTCCCTCTCTCTTCAGACTAGAAAAATATTTGTAATTGTTATTTTAATATTTATTTAAAATTTTTTTTTATTTTTTATGATAATAAAGAAAGAAATTCAAACTAGAGGGAAGACGTGGATATAATTTAAATCTAAATAAAAATAACAAATTATTATAAACAATAAACTAACTTTTGCACGAACGTCTTGTCTATTTCTATAATGATGTCTGGACTTATCTTCAGAGCGATATCTTTTATCAAGTTTCTTATATAATCGTGCTCCACTTGAGTGCTTTTTAGTACTGACGCATGACGGGGAATCAGCAAACCCCGCTGGTGCTGGCACTATATCTGGAGTTGCATCAGCATATGATTCCTGGAATCAAAATATTTTAAAGTATTTTTGATGGGAAATACATTTTTACATTGTTATATTGTTGCTGTTATATACTTATAGACCTATAAAAAAGCTATAGTACAAAATTAGATGTTAATGAAACAAAATATGAAATAGTACTTTAAAAAGGAATGTGAGAAACATGTAAAAAATTACGTAAAGATCGTCCTTGGTTTAAGACTTCGTCTATTCTATTCCTAAATATATTTGAATTTGGAATAATATAATGTATTGAAGATGATTAGATAATTTCTTTGTAATTAGACTACTGAATTGTAGGAGGTTTCAAAACTAGTGCAGGTATATGAATCGGAGGAAATATTTTTTAACTTGTATATCGTATTTCAAAATCCATTAAAAAATACAATCCAATTAAGTAATTGTTACTTTTTTCACCAGATATAAAATTATATAATTGTACACAACTTACATCAGTGTGGGAAGTTCTTGAAGCTCTGCTATCGTGTTCATGTGTAGCCGTAACAATATGCACTTCTTTGCCACAATGCAAGCAATGAGCTTTAGCTTCTCCATCAGCGCCCGTAAAACTGTGTTCTGTTTGTTCTGAATAGAAAACAGAGTCAGAACCAGGCGATACTGAACGTAATGACTCAGCTGACGCTGCTTTAGCAAACTTTCCGTCTGAAAATAATATAATAATTAAAAATTATTGTGGTATTTTTTACTTTTATTATTATTTGAAAAAAGAATAATAATAATTCATTAACAAGAAGTTATATGGAAAAATGTTTTGTAATAAAATATTCTCTCGTTAAAGATTTCTAAGCACGTGTATCCCATATTTAATTACGGATACTGACAATCTGGTTATTTTGACAGTTGAAAAATATTTACAAGTAGCTGTTTCCCGGGGTTATGCCCGCCTCGATTAGTATACATATAGAGTATGTGTTAACTTAGGATCCATCCGTGTATTAAATTTTATTCAAAACTGTTCAGTCATTTAAGCGTGATCGAGTAAATATATAAACTATCGTATTTTATTAGTAGGATAATAAAATATTACCTCGGTCTTGTTTTCTGTGATGTCTAGGAGATGTATTTGGACTTCTTATATATCGCAGAGGTGTCAACCTTGAACCAGCACTAGCGAGTGTCCTAGTAGTGTCTATATCTTCAGCTTCTAAGGAACTTAAGCAGGGGACGGTTGGGATCGATTGCTTTCTTCTAGGTAAACTACCAGGAAGTGATATGCTTTCATTGGATCCACTTTTCCTGCGTGGTCTACAACTAAGATATTTTTAACAGTTAACATAGAGTTATAAAACATTTTTAAATAATAAATATTAGATTCTTACATAAGAAATTGGCCTTTTGTACGGGAGGAATATAAAGTCAATTTTTTTTTGTAAAATATATTTAATTAGTTAGTAGTTAGTTCATTGATCCTTTTACTAAAAAAACCATTGGAGCGAGAATCAATAAACTCTTTGAAGGCGGTTTGGACTGCCGCATTGGTTTTCAATTTTTTTCCTTGTAAGAAGTTGTCCAAATTCCGGAAAAAATGGGAATCTGTTGGAGGTCCGGAGAGTACGGTGAATGTCGCAAACATTCCAATTGTAGCTCATCTAACTTAGTGGTTGTTAGTGTTATCAGTTAGTTCTTCCTTTATGGTTTGCAGTTGCTGACAACAGATATCTGCTGTAATCGTTTGGCCAGATTTTAGAAAGTAGTAATGGACGACGAGTGCCTTGTGATAGATCTGCTTCCACAATAGCCTTTAATTCTTTATATTCCACTTTGGTCTCCGGCCGTCCACGGGGTTGGTTCTGAAGGTCGAAATTTCATGAACGAAAACATTGAAACCAAAAACGTATCGTGCTTTCTTTTGCGACACTAGCACCGTACACATGATTAATCCTTCGAGCCGTTTCTGCAGCACTGGTGCCACGGTAGAACTCGTACTTGTAAATATACCGATATTTCATGTTTTCCATTGTGCGGTAATAAGCGACGCCAAGGAAAAATTAATGAGGAAAAAACAAATGAATGACTGTTTTCAAAACTCAAATATACCAAGCTAAATGAATTTATAAATTCGTATTTGGAATTCTGAACCAAAGAGGAGATATTTCAGATCAAAGTAGTCAATATGACAAAACGCTAATTTCATATGTAAGGACCTAATATTATAGAAAATTGTACAGACCTATATATTGAATGATTATTTGACGATGTTGGTGATTTCACTAGATTCGAATTAGCGCCTGTTTTTCTTCTAGGACTATCTCGTAAACGTCTGTGTTTCCTTGGAGATATATTTCCATTTCCTGCGCCTGAAATAAAATTGTTTTAATATAACACAATCATATTTATACACTCGTTTATTTGTAAATTTATGTACGAGTAAGTGCTATTATAAAACAGACCGTCTTTTCGATATTGTTCACTTGAATCATCTGATGTCGGAATATTAAGGTGCAGTTTCATATTAGAACCTATAACTTCACGTCTATCATAATGTTGAGCTCTGTAGTTATGGCCGTTGTCCATAGTTTTACTTTGCGTAGGACTTTTGGCTTTTAATTTGGTTCTTTTAACATATCGTTCTCTTTCTTGTGGTCTTTTTATTTCTGTATTATTCTCCTTTGCTGATTTATCCTTCGTTAATTTATCTTTTATTGATTTTTCCATATCGATTTGCTCTCTAGGTGACGATTGAACACTTTTCGTTTTTTCCATAAAATGTGTTTTCTTTTTTCTTATTTCAGAAGGTTTTTCTTCAGGAGACTTTAAATTTGTAGGTTTAAAAGAACTACGTTCTGATCGTTGGCTCATACAGTCGGATTCTTTTACTTTTTTCCCCCAATCATCTTGTGAAGTGGATATTGAGTCATCATAAGATTTAGAAAATTCTAATGTGAAAGCTTTCTTTTTTCTTCTTTTTTCCTCTTGCCACATTTTCGGTCTATTAGTACTTCTGTATCGTTGTGAGTGTTTATAAGCTGAAATATATAGGTAATAATTTAATTTCCTCATTAAAAGAACTGATATATACATTAATAATTATAACATTAAATCACTTACTTAAACCACCATCGTCTTCATCTTCAACAGGGCTTTCATAATATCCTGAAGATGAATAATGAACACTTCGCTCATCATCAGATACAGAACCCTGAAATATACATTTATGTAATTTCATTGTTTAAAACTTCTGAACAAAATGTAATAATTTTATTAAGTAACAAATTATAAGCCAATAATAGTATAATTTGTAATGAATTTAAATAAAGTTCTAAGGAAAATAGTATAATTTTATATAATTTATATCTAAAAAAACAAAATACTACCATCATTTTCGGAACCATTTGTTCTTTATCCTTATTTGAATTTGTTGACTTTTCTTCTTTTGTTTTGACCTCTATTTTTTCGGCTATTTTCTTTATCTTCTCAACAGGTGTTTTATCATTTATATCTTCAGTAACATTAGGATTTGAACCACCTATACTATAACTTCCGCTTGAACTACTCTTACCGCTTATAGTATCTCTCGAAGTACGCTAAAACGTATTTAGGTAGATATTATATAATTATCGTGATTTATTAGTATTAATAATGAAACATGTATAATAATAGGATAAAACTTACTTTAGTTATTTTAGTTATTTCCTCATTATGTTTAATAATTTCAGTCTTATCTCTCTTAACATGTTCCGTGGTTTGATTAACCTCTGCTTTTACTTCAATCTTTTCAACAATTGTCTTAGGAATTCTATCAGGTAATGGTAAAGGAGGTGAAGACAAATTTGGTACAATAAAATCTCCACTTATTTCTAATGGTGGTGAAAAACTCGGTACGACCAAGTCCTCTACTATGTTTTCTGTCCGAGTAGATGAATAAAGACTGGATGCACTTTCGAAAGATGACCCTTCTTGTGTTTTATTATTTTCTGGATCTTTAAAAAGAAAATAGATATAAAACAAATAGTCTACACACTATTTTTTTATTTCATTTCTTTCATTTTTCAGATTAAATATTACGAAAATACTACTTCATCCATTTTGATAAAAATTTAAACAAATGTTTAAATCAGAAGTGATTTAATATGTACTAGTAAAGCTTTGAAGACTATATAATAAAAGCGATAAGCGAATTTGTATATAATTTAACTGGCGTATTAACCTTATATGTTATCATTATTATACTTACTCTGATTTTGATTTTTACTATTGCTCTTTTTAGAACTATCCGAATTAGCTGTGACGTAGTCTTCAGTTGTTGTTGTACTTTCTGATACATCTGTGTTATTTATTTTTCCAGAATCTGTTCTAGCTAAACTCGTTTCACTACTAGCTGCCTTAGCTAAAGGTATTTCAGATGGAGATTCAATAATTTGATTAGGAATAGTACCATTGGGTTCTTTTTGTTGTGCTTTTGTTTGTAAGTCCTTTCTTCTAGAAGGACTCAATGCTCGTTCACGTTTCTTATTAATAAAACTGGGCGTTCGTTTAAACGGTACGTCCGCTAAATCTACACTAGGATGAGTAATTGCTATTGCTGGTGTATAATTAACTTTATGTGGTCCTATTGGAGATATATTTTTGGATATTGTTGGTTGTTTTGTAATTGGTAGTGATATATTTGGCACAACTGCAGGCGGAGATAAAGAAGATCTAGCTTGTGCGGAACTTGAACTAGAGGTATCTAGTTTATTTCGCGGTGATGTTGGCGATTGACTCTGAAATCATTATTACATGTCATTTTATAAATTATTAACATTTTTTTTTATCCTGAAAATATTATTTATGACCTTGAAAATATCACTAGAGTTAGGTTAGTTATATATATATATATATAATTATATATATATATATATATAAGCTAGTTATATATATATATATATAATTATGAAATTAGTCCTTACTTGTGAGGCATCAAATTCTTCATCCAAGGCATCAGTATCTAACGATGATCGTTGTTGATGTTGTAGTAATAAAAGTTGTTTCCTTCTTGATGTAGGTGTTAGCAATGCAAGGGCACCTGGTGAAGCTGCTAATGAACTAAGATCTGATGAACTGTAATAAAAATATTACATAATTAACAATTTAAAACTCTTAAAATTTGAGTACTTATATATAAATATTAATAATTTTTCAAGTACCTTATAACGGTTCCATTTTCGGTCCCGGAATCTACTTGTAAAACTGTAGTTTGTGATTCATTCCACATACCATCAGAATGATCTCTGAAATTTCAAATTAAAATAATTATTATAATAATATTAAATATAATTGTAACTTTTACTAACGAAAAGAAACTGATAAAATTTTGTACAGATTATAATTTGTGGTTCATGAATAATATGTCTTATATATGACCTATGAATAAGAGATATTGAGATCTATTGAAAATTTATTTTTGGCTTTTTATGATCTACATTCTTATATTATATAACAAGAATTAATGTACGATACCTGCTGTGGTCCACAGTGAGCGATTCATTTGAAGCACACGGCGATATTTTTTCTAATGGAGTAAGGATTGTGGTGATGCTATTTAATATTACTGCTTTCTTTGCTTTATGTTCTACATCTACGGTAGCGCTCGTCGGTTCTGGTGAGCCCGGACTTGATTTTGCAGTACTGAAAGAATATTCTTTTTTAAATATACGTCTTCATAGAAGATAGTAATTCATAGAGAAAGTACCCTCGATGCTTTATAATAAAATATATTAACGTATAAAAGAGAATTGTTTTATAACAGGTTTTATAGATTGCGTGGGCTATTAAAGTCTTTTATCAAAATATTTTTTACGCATTACTTAAATTTCTATGGTAATAGAAAAAAAATCAGGTCAAACCTTTGGTATTGGGAGAAATTGGGCTAATTTATATAAAAATATAAAATATTATCTAAGTGAAATGCATTGCTAAAGCCAAATGCGTTTATGTGTAACGTGCATACCTGTTTTCAGGATTTTCGTCCTTTTTATTGACAATTTCTGTACGCTCTTCGAAACTTACGCTTCGATTTCTAAACGGTTCATGCTTGTAACTAATGTATTTTTCATGAAAGTCTTCATATGGTGCATTCCCGTCTGAAGAACTATGAAGAGAATTTACTTGAATGAGAATGGATGGAAGCACGGCGCACAAAATTTTTAAGCTCAGAAAACTCAGCAGCAGTTTTAGAAGGAAGGCATGTGTGGAAAACAAACTATAGTAGGTAATATAATCAAGACTTATATCGGACCCTAAAAAAATTAATTAGATTGTGATGTGATTCTGTGAAAATGAATGTGTTTTTGTGCAATGGACCTATTTTCTATGTGCATTGTCTATCATACGTAAAAATATACGATTTAAATTATTCTTACCTAAACGACCCATCCGGTTCAAAACCAAAAATGCCCTCATCCTTAATAGGTGTCTGTATATAATTTTGACCAATATACTGCCGATACATAGCTTCTCTTTCACGATCTTCTCTTGTCATATTTTCTTGACTTGTAGACATAACAAGTGGAGCATCTTTTGAGCCGTCCCCATTTATTTCGGTTTTCCTCCTGCCAAAAAATTGACGTATTAAAAGAATCGACGTAATGTTGTAGGAAAAGCATTAAAATAATTTTGAAAACTCACACATCCAAAAGTATTTCTCCTTCAGAAAGAGTTTTGTGTAACCTTCTATTTTTTCTATGTAATGTTGTGAACGGTATGGCTTCATCATCAGGCCTAGGTTCAAAGTCAATTATTATTTCTTTTTCGTTTTTCTCGCTATCGTCTGTGGTTGTAGCAGACGTTTCTGTAGAAGGATCTGAATGAAAGGTAGATGTTTTTGAAAGCGGATGTGAATTAATGGTTTTTTGGGAAGCGTCACTGGTACTTTTAGATAAAATTGACCTTAGAGATCTATCGCCTTTAGCTTGTTTGGCTATTTCTTGTTGAAGGTATTCTAAATTTCTTCTATTTAGAGCCATACTTTTTTCGATTGTTTCTATATCATCATCAATAGTATCGTCTCTATCGCTTTCGTGAATAAATTGAAAATTTTGTTGAAAATATTCTTGAGCTTGTCTTTGTAAAACGCTTAGTTCGGATGATTTATCTAACTGAGATGATGCTACTGATTTTACAGATGATGATGTGACTTCATCCGAATCCATTCTTTGCATAATTGGTGATTGTGGCATCATAGATGTAGGCGAACGTGGCGATCTTGGAGGTTCTTCTGATTGCGTTCTATGAAGTTTTTCATGATCAGTTCCAATAATACTGAAAATCCAAAAATTAAATAATTCATTTTCATCACCAATAATTTTTCAGTTCAATGATTAAATATTTAATTTAAATTACATTTATACCTTTCAACAACAGCGTCAATATCACTTTGAGTATCACGACCAGCTAATCTATCTCCACCTACTTCAGAAAATGATTTTGTGAGCCTTCTTACACCTACCGTATAACCATTGGTCTGAACTCCTGCTGCTACCATTTTTACCTAAAATTATTTTAAGAATGTAGTCATCGAATAATTATGAGACTAATTATTTTATATTGAAACCTTGATACAAAACCTATAAGAAAAAGATCTCTTTGATTATAAATTTCTTACCCGTTTAATAGTCCGAGGACTCAAAGATAAATAATTAGGCGGGAGTGGCTTTCTTCCTAAACATACTTCAGTCTGTGTTGCTTGTGTTCTCATAACTCCTTTCTTTATTGAATCTGTAATAATAAACAAAACAATTTAAAAGTTTATCTGGTTGTGAAAATCATTGTTTTCTAAGTCGTTAACGGACTCTGTTCATTAAATAATTATCTGACTCTTATCTTTATTGGTTATTAACAACAACCTTTGAGTAAACTTAATTACATTTGATGACCTTTGTTGTGACATAATGGATACAGGCACGTTATTTTGGGTACTTTAAGCTTTAAGTTCGACTCTCGCATTACATAATTTACTAGAATTATTCGAACCTTGATGTTCTGGGTTATCCCCTCAGAATAATTGTTCTCATATTTCAGTTTGAATACTATGAAATTGGTGTGATAATAATACCAATTTGTATTTTTTAATATATACTAATATCTACATACAACTTCAATCAAGTAATCGAGATGTAATCAAGTAGGATAAAAACTTTCTTCAATAAAACTAAGAGATATTAAATAATTAAATTAATTTTTGAATTCAAAATATTTGTAAGGATTATAATAATCATTATTACCTAATACAACGACTTTAGGCTGGTCAGTTTGTGTAGGCCGCTGTACCGATGGTGTGGTATGCGGCAGCGTCGCAAACTGCGTTGTTGGATAATGGATAGGAGCCGGTGCCGCCGCGTTTTGGCCCGGCATGAATTGCGGATACGGCGTGAATGGCTGGTACATCATCGGCAATGTTGAGTATTGTTTTGTTTCTGGCTGAAATATTTGAATGTGATTATAATCAAGACTTAATCATTTGAAATTTATCAGAGAGAAATTATGTCGTCTACATGAGTCATCATCATGTCAGCCTTTAATGGTCAACTGCTGAACATAATTGTCCCCCTTTTGCCAGTAGTTGTCATGCTTGGTAGGCGGATTGGCAACCACAATTAGGCTTTAGAGATATTTTAAGAGGGACGCTGCTAGCCATCCCTCGGGATGGGTAGCAGCTCCTCTCTTAGTTGCCTCTTACGATATCGAAAGGAAAGGGCAGCCTATTTTATTTTATTTATTTTTTTTATTTATTTATTTATTTATTTCCAGACAACTGGGATCCATTCTTGTTAGTAAGTGTACTTAAAAACTATGTTAATACTTAATTACTAATAATGATCTAGTCCTCTCGGAGAGCATTTTCACGAGAGGACTATCCAATTTATTAACAAACATGTTCAGGATACTGTTGCTACTCCCGCGTATTCGACGTAAAAACGTATGCTAAGTGTTTCTACAATCAAGCTTATATGGTTGTGTGTAGGTTCATAGGGTGAGATTTTCATAAGAGAATTAAAAACCTCTTTTTGTTTATGTTCTTCAGGCAACGGTTAACATGGAAAATGGTAATATATAATATACGTTTTCATTGTAGCAACAATATGATTTATTATCATCAGTTATACTCTCTTTTAAACGTAACTAAAGAAACTAATCGTTATCTAGTACAAGAGAATAAAAATTTTAAATCCAACCATCCTGCGTGTATTGTAAGTGAACATTTTCCACTTATGTGAAGACACTTGCACTCAACAATCTTAATAGGTCCAGACAATAATGATGGTAACACAATGTTTTTAGTATTGACCACAGCCAATTTACGTCTTTTAGTGATTACAAGTTATAGTAAATCACTAGATATTGATATTTTCTCTGCTGTAATATACAAATTTAACAACCTTTACGACTCGTCCGTCGATGAGCCTTTCACAGTCTCGGCGGAATCGGCTACCTCCAACTGCTGCCGGCATCACGGAGTCATCAAATGTGGTCAAAGTGTGGGAACGGGCGAATGACACGTGTTTAGTTCTGAAACAGAGCAAAATAATATATTTAGACTTATGCACTATTACATATTTGGTTTTTTTTTTCTACTGGAACGACATATAACCGTCGTGTGGTAAGCGATTATGAAATCATATCTACATATGTAGGCCAAAGTTTGAACGCGAGGTTGCATCAACCTGTGGACCTCACTACTCTTGTTTATAACAAACACTTATTTATGCCTCTCTTGAACAAATCCAAATCATATTTGGTAGGAAACAAAAATCCTAAGAAAAAAATTCACAACAATAAAATACATTAAATAAGATTGCTGAGGAATTATAAAAAAATGTTCAAGTTTATTTCTCCTTAATATTTAAATGATTTTCTTTACATTTACCTTTTCAAAAAAAAATGGTTTACACTAACTCCTACAGTGAATAAAATGATCAGACAAATTACGTCTGAGATGAGGATCGAGTTTCGGGAACCGATGTGTGTGAATAAGATAAATTACTAAAATGTACGAAACAAAATATATAAACCTAATTCTTTGGCACTCAGTTCTCGCTCCAAAAGGACATTGTCTAAAAATATATATATTATTTATTTTACCTGTGTGGCGGTATAGTAAGCGGCGGCGGCGGAGGTGGTGGGGGTATCGGCGTGTGCGCAGGACAACTGAAAAATATAATTAATCTGATAATAGTAATTCATTAAGTACTCAGCCTTCTTCACTTACTCTTTTTATCCTTGAGCATTACGCAGTTATTATTTTATTACTCAACTGTTTTCATGAATAATTTTATACGTTGTTCATCGTACTTCTTAAATATACATATATTACTAAAATTGTGGTTGAAATATATACAAAGATATTGACTAATATTCATCGGTAATTATATTCTGTAACTGTTCTTTATATTTATCAATGAAGAGTTATCCATTATTTACAAAGGCACGGGCTCATATTACACGAGTGAGCAGAACTGTGAAAACCTGGTGTGGGAGTTATCTTAACCGCTTATCATGAAATCGAATAATAGCTACTGATTTTGAATTAGACATACACAATTTAGAAAGGCCATTCGGAAAAGGTTGAGTCATGCACGGGTAAACACACACGTGACAACCCCGATGGACACAAAAGGTACGGATGTTAATGTAACCATTTCTTATAAGCATTGTGAATCGGATATATTATTATGAAATTCTGAAAAGCCCGTTGCGGCGGCAAATCATCAGGAAAGATTCAATGTCATGCACGGGTGAACACACGCGTGACAACCCTAATGGACAGAAACGGTACGAGTTTCAATGTAACCGCTTGCCTTATCATATGGTCGAATGATTGCACGAGATAGTGAATTATAGATACAAAATTCAAGTTAAGGATGTTGCTATAGATTACCGGAAAGGATTCAAGGTCATGCACGATTGAACAAACACGTGACACCCCTGGTTGACACGGAAGATAAGGGTATAACTGTAACCGCTTACCAGAAGGTAGGCCATAAGAATGTATGTCTTCACCGTTATATGAAAAAAAAAAGTTTTATACTTAAACAGTAAAATAATTATGGCATGTATTTATTTCTTTTATTTTTATTTTTTCTGACTAATATACATACTTATTATTAAACTATTATTTTTTTAATACATTAGAAGCAAAAGTTTTACAAACTTTCGCTTTTGGATGGACGGATGAAAATTTGTTATACTTTCATGCAAAAATTATTAAACTAATTGGAATGAAATTTGGTACATGCGTAGTGCAACTTAGCAGATAGGATACTTTATGTGTTGATTCACGCGCGCTGTGCCGTGGGATATAGCTAGTATTAATTATTAAAAACCGCTCAAATGCTAACGCTTGTACTTCTAGATCACGATCATGAAGTTAGAGGATTTTTGTTCATTATAGGCTTCTATCAGTATCTCATACTTTGATCAAGTTTGTTAACTATATCTACCATTATACAGTAATTGAATACAAATTTAGTAATTGTATGTGCTCTATGTAGTCCTATGTTACTATGAGTACCTACTAAGCTAAGAGTTACAATGGCTTATATCAAAATATTATGCATCTATGTAAGTAAAGGTGTTGTGAAATAACTTTCTGATACTTTTCAAAATCACAATCCTCTTTCAATGAGGTCATTACTTTCTCTGAATAACAACAACACAATTTCTAACAAATTATCAGTAAACTAAATTCATCTTAAACTTGAAAAAAGCATTTAATGCTGAACATTAATAAAATTTAAAATTGGTCGAATGACATTTTTATTCGGTACAGATTATAAACCACAAGGATCTCGGATCGCTCGCGTATAAATAACGCGGTAAATTTAGTCAGATGATATTGCGTTAACTTACCGCACTGAAATGGGTAGATCCATTTGCTCTTCATATAACGTAACGCGAGAGTACATTAATTTATAGCGAGCAATCAAATTTACACACAAGCCTAACAATATAATTTATAGGGAAAACGCACCACCCACTTCTGCGGTTGCCCTGAATTGCGACCAGCTTCGGACTGGCTGAATACTCAAGTTTATCTTGACCTTTTGTAAAATTGTTAACCTTTATTTTGCAGGGTATATGTTATGTGCTTATTTACGTTAGTTATAATATTAAAGGTCGGATCTATTCTAGATATATTGTTATTTTTAATAATAGGGAATACATTTGACCTTTGAGAATAAAGATTTTATTATTGATGCACTTCAACGCATAGAACGGAGTACAATACTCTTTAGATTATTATATTATATTATCATTAAAATAAAATGTAATTATAGCTATTTATCATAGTGTATCATGTTCTATCATAATCTTATTTGGCAAACCAGCTTAGGGTAAATGCAGGTGTTACTGTGACTACAACAGTCATTAAATTCTTCTGACAACCCATTAGGGACTATAATTATAAGGAAATGTATATTTTTTGTTATTTTTATTATGTAAAATTATTGTATACTTACGGAATCATAGACGGAGGTCTGGGCAACGATCCACCTCGGCTCACTGAGCTTATTTGGTCGACGTTGTAATTTTGCGGCCACCCCGCGTTATCTTCTATTACCGATCTGAAATAAAATTGTAAAAAATATAAATATAAAATCTAATACAATATGTACAGTCAGTGCAGTTATTTCATTATTCTAAAAAAATAAAATATATAAAAACAGTCAATCGTAAGACTGCATGTCAAAAGTCAGAAGAAAACTGTTTAACTTCACAAACTTGTAAAACATTATTTTTTGGTTGTAAAAAAGATTTTCAAAAAGTATTTTTAATAGAAATAATTTTGATTATGGCAACTACTGATAAACTCTTCCTTATAGGGAAGGCCTATAAATTAGCAGTGGACAGTAAACGGTTAATATAATAATAAAAATAAATGTAATTTTCATATCAAGTATTTCTTAATTCTGAAATTTCGGAAAAATTCTCATGGTAAGTAGGCAGATCGCGAGTTCGTAATTCTTAATAAGAGTGCGTTTTAAGATAATATAATGCCTATATAAACGGTTGAATTGTTTAGTTACGAAACTAGAATATTACCCAAGGGATTTTAGTAATAATAATAGTTTCAATTTAGTATTTACATATATTTGTAATTCTGAATATATTATGGATCTTCATTTACATACACAAAATCCGAGGCATGCCCAGGTCCCTTTTGTATTTTAAAGGGTTCGCATAAATTGACCCGGATGATATTTTTTCACCATAGCAAGTCTAAATTTAATATACCTAGTACGTTATGAATCGTTATACAATTCCCAAATGTAAATGAATGTTGAAAATATTTTTTAGAGACAAAATGTTTGTTCTAAAATATTTCTCTCTAAACTTTAAAATGATTTATGTTATTAAAATAACATTAAAAAATGTACAGTAACATTGATAGAAATATAAAACATATTTTAATTTGAGGCAAAATTTAACAGAAAAAATATAGTACCTGTAAATATCCTCACTAAATAAAAATGGAATTATAAAAATCGGATTAGAATTAGGGTTGGTAAGATTTTTTTTTTAAATTCATACATATTTTTATAAGATACGAAGCAAACGATGTGTCCTATCTGATGGTAAGTGATTATCGCCACCCATAGGTAACCGAAACATCAGAGAAATCTCAAACGTGTTTTCAGCTTTTTAAAAAGCAATACTCTTTTTCAGAAAAGTTTCAATATGGTATGTGTTTAAAAATACAGTTGTTGGGGGTTGGTTACATATTTTGGTTATGCGTGGAAATGGTGGAGGACCACGACTTATCCAGATGGTCGGGATCAAATTATAGCTTACAGCAGGTTGTACGGTAATGAGATGCAATAGTCTAAATAATTCCTCTGAACACTTATATATAATTAGATATTGAAAACTTTCTTCTTTTGAAAGTTATTTCAAAAGAATCCTATAAGTTAATCTTGTTCATTTGTTTATCCATTATTCAAATCTGTCCAACTGTAACAAATATCCAAACATTTTACAGATCGCACTAAATTATTTTGCGAGCCTAAAGTTATAAAAACGCCATATTTGCATATTATAGCAATAATAAACGTTTCTTATGTAAATTTCAAATGTACCTGTAATACTGCACAGTCATTTGTGCGTACTCAAAACAAAAGTCCATGTTTTATTAGGGATTTCTCCCGGAATGTACCTTCGGAGCTCGGCTCGATGAGATCGTATTAAAATTACTGTGTAATCTTCTGCTGTTAATTATTTAATTAAGCTACCTTTTATTACTTTAGGGTCGAATTCGAATTCCATTTTCGACCGACATCAAAAAGCATTCTACATGAATTAGGATACTTTTTTTTTTTAAATCGATAGGGTTTATTCTCATGTATTTGTTTATTCATTATGGTACAACAATTTTGTTTTCGTAAAACGTAAAATAGTTATAACTTTTTTTAACTATGAAAAATACGAAATAAAAGTATAAATGAATTAAAGTTTAATTATGTTAACCAAACTTTGGGCTGATTCTCTAGATGCTGGTATACATTTATATTTATTCTTATATTTAGTAAAAATAGACAGGTTTTATATGTATTAATTCAAGACTATGATAAATTGCATTCACATTTATTTAGCTATTTACTCGTAGGTGCATATAAATCTCTAATTTATAGTATAAGTAGGATTATGGCCTCCACAAATGAAGGAGATCTTGTCCGTAGTCAGAATTTCTCTTTCTTTGTTTCATTTCTCAATCACTCAGGGTTTTAAATCCAATAAGATAAAATCCTCGTTAACCGATTATAATAAAATGTCAAAAATTTCATCTTGTGTTGTGGAAGTAGATACATGGTTTATATACGTGTTTCATCTTCAGACATAAACGGGTTGCAAAACGTGCGTGAATGAAATGGAAATCGGAGATTGAGGGCTGGTATGGAAGTTGTGGAATTTCTTGTAGTAATGATGGTGGTCATTCTTCGAATGTTGGCAGTTACGCCCATTTAATAGTAGCGAAATCAAACAAAATAATTCTAATCAAATATCCATTGATACGGACTTCCGCAAGATAACACATTTCACGCTTCAGTAAAATATTTACACAAAGGGGCATTCTATCTATTAACTAAATGGCCATTAATTATTTAAGTCGATAATGGGATTAGAATATAGGTAACTCGAATCAAAATAATTGCTTGTGGCTGTCGATGAGAGAGTTTTGTTCAGCTGTGGGTGATAAATAGCTAAAATAACCATGATTATGGGCGAGACCAGGAATACCATTACTGTTAATAGAAATTCCATAAATTATGTTAAGTAATTAGAATTTAATCTGAATATAATATGGGATAACGGCGTACTTAACAATTTTACTAAACGTTTTAAAATAGAGAACTATGGGCGAACTCGTTTTATTGTTGCCAGCTGCCGTCAAATGCTCCCTGAGACTCGGAAACAGCCATTTGGAAGAATTTAATGTTGTTTGGTATTTGTATTCCTACGTTATTATATGTTTGGATAATTACACAATTTATTTGGATTATTCTTGTAAAAGCATTTTCTTTATTTTTTAATACTATACCATGCTGAATTATGTATTACTAGCTTTTACCTGCGACTTCGTTTGTGTAACCGGAACATTACTGACAGGGATAAAAAGCATATAGCCTTCTCCATGTCATATAGTATGCGTATACTAAATTTGATAGTGATTGATTAAGCCGTTAAAGCGCTACAAGGTAACAAATGAACTCACTTCCACATTTAGAATATTAAGGTTTACAATAGTAAGGACAGCATAATTCAATATAATGTTGGGTTTCATTCCGTAAAGGAAAAATCGAAAAGTCAAATCCAATTAAGAATATTCAATGTACAACGAGATGGTTTCTTTTTCGATTTAGAAAGGAGGACTATTTCAATTCCACTCTTATATGGGCAATGTCTTTGAAAATACAATTATTATTTTTGCTAGCTGTATGATTTACCGGCATTGGTCTCATTTTGATTTTGTCTCGATTGAAGTGTTTTCTTGTGTTACAAAATTTTAAAATTGTTAAAATAAATCCGAATAAATTATAACAGTGCATATATACGGAAATTATGGTCTATCTATCTTCTCTTTATTTATTTTTATATTAAGTCCCTTGCGAGGTAGGTAGAGTGAACCGAATGTCAAAGTCCTCTATCCTTAGATGTGTAAATGAATATATATATATATATATATATATATATATATATATATATATATATATATATATATATATATATATATATATATATATATTATATATATATATATATTAAGTTTATGTTACCTTGCATTGGTGTATTGTGTTTTGTTTTTGTTCCGTTAGTAATTTCCTAAATCCTGGGGATGATATTGATATCCTGGGACTGATAACTTGTTTGCAATTTTCAATGGTTTAAAAACGCCAAAAAACCTAAAAACCGTGACGTTTTCGACCAGTTTTCTGTAAGTGAATGTAAATGGAATGGTACCCTCGTCTCTATTTCCTCGTATTTATTTACGCTAGCGGTGTACTAGTGAAGAATGGTAGGTTAGAATTAAGTCAATCTTTTCTTCCCTTGTGTTCAATGATTTTAAATAAAAATAACTTACTGTGGCCACTCCATCCGGGTGAAGTCTTCATCTTCTGGCATCCATGTGTACCGCTTCGGGTCAGGCTGGCTACACACGGATCGTGGTCTTCGACGGAAGTATGAACACTCCAGATCGGCGTCATAGGCACATAGCTCGGGTGGAGGTGGGGTGGGTTGGCCAAACCTTTAACGAACGTGCTTATTCAATTTTATAGGTTAGTACAGTTTTTTGGGACTTGTGTGTGCCAACCGTGTTGTATTCAGAGTTGAAGCGCCAATATTTGGACTTGAAGATTTAGGAAGTTATTAATTATCGATTCAATTAAAATAATATTTAATTACTCTTAATAATAAATTATGGTTTACTCAATAAATAATCGAATGGATCTCAGGGAACCCAAGATCATGTTCTAGTCCTATTTAATTTTAGATTATTTTTTCATGTTTAGATAGATTATAGTTCTTTAAAAGTACATAAGGTGGTTTATTTTTTTTAATTGGTGAAAATGGTATGATAACCCTATCGCCTACACTATCAACATAAGCTAATGGTGCACCAGTGAAAAATGATACCTGAGAATGAAAGCAGGTTAGTTCATGACTATCGTAATGAATTCCACAAGACAATTTTAACCACGATGGTTTCCATACCAGATAGTCTCAGGGGAACTGCATGGAGGTTAACCTGATGGGGTACATTGATAGCAATAAATCTTGTTAAACCCCATTATGTACTAACAATTCCTTTGTTTCCACGTAAAGTGGTTATTCTTGTACCAAACCGAACTCTTGACATAATTTTCTGATTTAAATCTAATCACAGACTACGACTCGTAGTATTACAGCGTAATCCGTGTTATCTATTTTTAATGGGATTTTATATAATTTATTTTGGACTAGTAATCGGGCTCAACTTGACACAAATAGAATTGTCGAAAATAACTTTATGTTACACACTGATAATGTAGCTTTCTATAGGTGAAAGAATTTTAAAATCGATTAAGTTTTTTTAGTTTATTGATTGCAAAGAAACAAATAAACAAACGATATTTCCTTTTCCTTTACTATATTAGTATAGATAAGCAAATAACTAAAAGAAATACCATTTTTATGCAATAGATTTTTTTTATAATTTTTCGAGCATAAGACCAAAATGGAATATTCAAATCTATACAAAAAAATTTATACCCAACAATTTTTATTCTTAGTTTTTATTATTTTTGCCGACAGTATACTATTAGTGAGTCGCAGATCAGTGCTATGGGTTATACGTTGATTTATTGCAGGTTATTTCTGACTTCGACCGTAAGGGATCTGGTCTATTTGTCTTCCCGTGAAATCCCTTACGGAGCAGGCAAAGAAAACTAAGTGCCAAATATTAGTGCTGTTCTTAAAAATACTTCTTACTTAATCTACTTCTAAATGTCGTCTCATATATTCACAATTGTCTATGAACTAATTAATGTCGTGGTTACCTAGAAAATCAAATGGAACATATTTCTACTAATACATGAAGCTATGTGATTAATTAAAGATTTTTTTTTTAATATTGGAAAAGGGTTAGTAACTAAAGATTTAGATCTACAAAATGCAGGGCTTTCAAAGGGGTTCAACATATATATGAAACCAACAGTTTAAAATACGAAAATCGAACCTCTCATAAAATTCGTGCGGTTTATATTTCCTTGGTATTCTAACTTTCCTTGGAAAATATTGTCCGTGGATGTACATAACCCTCCTTAATATATATACATTATAAATATCTACCTTCTAATCTAATATTTGTTGTATCTTTATAAATTTTGGGAAGCCCTTTATTGGCAAACAGACTTCGTTGTTTATTTGAACTGACGTAAATTGAGAACTATTATTTACAAAAGGGTTGACTCAAATTATTTCGAGCTCAATTAACTTAGTTAAAGATCGTTAAATGAAGACGTCCAGATTATAAAACAAATAATACTTGTTTTATTTGGAATGAATTGACGAATTTAGGAAATGAACTAAACAGGTTAGGGACTTGATTTTTTAGTTACACCTTTATTATTATTATTAGTTTTACTATGTTTAGTTTACATAATACAGGATATTCTAACTTAAGGACTATGCAATTTGTTTAATTGTATGGCACATAAATTATTATTTTTTGCTTTAGATTCTTTTCAATTTTCTAACATATGACAGTTATAGGTGGGTAATAGCAGAGACTATTTCTTAATAAGGCAGTAGTAACATTTAACGTATGATCCCTATTATATTATGACGTTAATTGTAGAGAATTATTTATTTTTATTAGGCATATGTTTTAAATGTCCCCAGGACTTCTTCAAAAACAATACACAATACATCAGTAGAAGAGAAAATTAAGCTAGCGTGATATTGGTAGATTAATATGGATACAGAGGATCTCTTACGGGATTTTTGTCTATGTATATATATATATATATATATATATTAGGTATAGTCGGTACATACCTTGGAAACCGCTGTATTGGGGCGTAGTCGGAGTTAAGGTTCTCATCTGAGGGCACCCGACGACGGACGCACACGGATAGAAATGATGCTCTGTAAATGAAACAAAAGCCTATTAATGTTTTGAAATTTATATTTATAATTTTTTTTTTTTTATTATTGTTAGGCAAAGGAACCACACCCCGCCTGATTGTAAACAACATTTCGTAATATGTAGTAGATGGTCATATTTGTAGCCTGGATATCATCATCAGCATGACCTCTGCTGAACATAGGCCTCTATCTTGTGGCCATTTTTCTAGTAGTGTTGCCACGCTTGGCAGGCGGGTTGCAAGCGCAGCAAATACTTGTCCTTTTTTTCGTGCACTCCTTGTGAATTTTCTAATTTACCAGAGAGATGGATTTTATAAAAAAAAAAACATAAAAAACGTCATAAGGGGGCTAGATTTCAAAGGGAACTTAATTTATAAATTTCCATATTTTTACCCCATATAATTGTAAGAGTAAGGGCACAGTACCTTACATTAATGTAAGGCAATATTACTTACTTAGATTTACTTAATTATCAAAGCCATCAGAGTATAATTATTAAAAATAAAATACAATCAATACATAGGAATTGCAAACATTCTTTCTAAGCTCGTTAAATGAAGAGTAATTTTGAGGTTTTAATAAACATCTTAAAAATATATTTTTTATAAATCTGTTATAAGTCCTTGTTAGTAGCTCCTACATTACTTTATATAAGCAGATGTTTGAATAAACGATACATTTATTTTTGGAATTCATCGGAACAGCTAAAATAAACAAAAAAAAAATCTTTAAAAACCGCTTCCGTTTCGTATTTTATACGTTACTTGGCTCCTAACACTATTACAAGGGTGTCGAATAATAAAATGCCCAATTTGTTACCTTTACCTTTCGTAAGAGGTCTCCATTTACTTTGCAAATCAACTCAAAGAGGTAATTTTTATTTCACTTAAATGGAAACAAAATGAAACTACAGGGATATTTGAAGACATAATAAATATAATTTAAAACAGTAATTTACTTTTTGAATATTTTTATATAAAGAAATACAAGTATTACAGTTTTGGGTTTTTTAGAGCTTACCGACATATGAGTTATTTATTTTTTTAATTTTATTTTTATGACTCCACCAATTCACAATTTATATCGGACATTCAGAGGTTGACTGGCAAAAATATCCTTTTACGGGGTAAGTCCGCCATTGTACTCATTCTTTTCTTAAGAAATCTATATCCTGTAATTTAAGACTTTACTTTTACTTTATACAAAGTGTTACAAATAAACAACCTGACGTGTATAAAGTTCCTCATGCTTTTACAAATGTGATACTCGTGAAAAATATGACATATTTGATAATTTAATATGTCATATTTTTCAACTTATATCAATAGTGAAACAGAAAATGTACCCAAGTCCCTGGTCTAACTGTTTACCATCAAAGGTATTTTTATTTAGCTTGTTCTAAAAAATTAATTAATTTTATTCCCTAAACAACACAAGGAAATGAGGGTTCTGCTATAAATCATAGTTACCCAAATATTTACATACCGTTCTTCTTGTTATTCATAAACAAAACAAGGAACGTACCTATATTAGAAACTTGGGTATTATGCTTTCCAGTTAGTAGGTACATAACAAACAGGTTACTTCATTTCTTATGCATGAAAGGTCATTGTGAAGAACTCACATGGGACGTCCGATCGAACGGTTGTATTAGATTTTCATTCCAAAAACTTATTTAGTACTAGTTGCATACCATAGATTTGCCTGTAGAAACCTTAAGCTTCCGTTGCAGTGATATTTATAGCAAAATCTTTTTTAGTAGATTCCTATGTCACAAACAGTAATTATATTTAAAATTTCACATTTCTAACCCTTGAAGTTTATATTTAACACAAATTACTATCCTTACGCTACGCTTTTAAGCTTTTAAATTGGAGAAAGAAAGCGGTAATTAAAAAGTTTAAACAAAAATCTAAACAAACCTATTAATTAGCTAAATGTATTTTAAAATTTATTAAAGTATTTTTAATTCTTTCCAACCTACTTCAAAAGAAGGAACCTCTCAATACCATTTTTTTTTTGTATTTATTACATCAAAACTCCGTTACTGTAAACCAATTAAATTTTTTTTTTTATATGAAAGTAAATAACATACAGATTGGTTCTATAGAAATTTTATTAAAATCGGTTTAATAGTTTAATTTTATAGACCAAAATAACTGGTTTTGTTACAATTAAATTCGGTTTTCTTTTGTTAGATACAATCTGTAATTAAAATGAATACCGTACTAGTATTTATAGAGTTCGAAATAAAATCAATGTGACAAAATGGCATGAACATAAATTTTTGCTCTGAAATATTACTCAGAGCTGTAAGATAAATCGAATGTATATCTCAATTATTAAAATTTGTCTTAAATTCATTTCGATAAATTGGCACTATGCAGTATTTATGGATTCAGTGTTACCCGAAGCTGTAAGATGGATGCAATCATACTTCAGTTATCGAAAATCTTATAGGCTTATTAAATCTTATAGAAGGCTTTATATAAATCAAATTAGCTTCCAAAACCTTCGGTTTTTTATTTACAAAAATGAATTTTCGATAGAACGGATCTCTTTTGTCACAATAATGTAATTATATATTATCTTATAAACTTTTAGGTTGTACTTAAGTAATAAAGAATAGCCCTAATAAATTTGTAATCTGACTTATTTTTTATTTGTAACTATAAATGGACTACAGTGTGGGTTTTTCAAAAAGGATATATTAAGGCTTCTTCGGAGTCGACAATGCACTCGTAACACTCCAACAGGTATCCATAGGCTACAATGATTGTTTATTATAAGATGGGTTGTATGCTTGTTTTCCACAATCGTCATATAAATATATTTATATATTTAGTAACTCGATTACAATGTATAAAAACTGATTAAGGATAATATAAAGAATTCAATGTAACAGTGTTTGCATCTTAGTACTTTCCTATTTATATTGCTGTATCGAACCTTGTCTGCTCTGTATGTAACAGGTATTAGTAGAAACTTTATTGGTTACTAAATAATTATTATGTAATATTTTTGTGTTAATTATGCTGTTTGTTTCTCAAATGAAATAACATAAAAAGTTCAATCTAAACGTTTCAGTTTTATTCGGAAATTACCTACAGAAAAGTAATCATCATATATTACTTACGAGTACTGACAGCTTAGTTAGAGATTCCAAGATTTAAGCCCATCCTAAATCTCTGAATATTCAACTTGATAGATAGATAAAAACTCTTTATTATTTTGTCCAATTATTGTTTGGATCATTTAATATAAAGCGTACTCGAATTATCACATATTTTGAAGGGTACGTAAAACAATCGTCCAAAAAACCACGTCATATGAGTATCTTCGTGTATACTGAATTCTGCATAGCAACTCTTAATACCAGATGGCAATACTCTCACAAGAGTTATAGCACAGAAACATAATACAGACAATAGTTACATTATTTTATTTCTATTTAGAAAATATGATATTATACTATATATAGATACAGTATAATGTTTTCTCAGTCATACCAAAATCAGAGCGTCATCAATCATTACTATTATTGTGTGTACTGGAGTTTCAAATAAACCATTTATTTATCTATATATCCACAATATATTACAATCACAAGTGTATTTAAGGCAATATAATATCATTCATCATCGATACATTATCATATACTTAGTTTAAGGCGAGGTCTTTCGAGTGCAATAGATCAAAGGATTGAACCCACTCGGCATGTGTGGTTATTTCTTTGAATTAAGTGTTATTTTGGGATGCTCCAAACGTATTAATTTATTATTTAAGTATTAAGGATACAGAACCCTTTTTAATTAAACGTACGTATTACGTTTTTCATTTTATAATATCAAAATGTATTTGAAATAAAATTGCGAAATAAAGGTAAGATTAAGTGAAATCACTTAATTTTACCTTTATTTCGGTTAACTCAGTTGATATTCACTATAAAAAAAATACAAAATAACAATAGGTCTTTTTTTCCAAATCGTTATTGATTTTTATATTTAAGTCAGTATAAAATGACACCTCAAAACTTGCATAACAGAAAGATAACCAACTTATTCGTATAGATACATACACGCACACGTGTATATATATATATGAATAGCCTAGTATATTTTTATTTGTCAGAAAAGAGAGTTGCTTAATTTAATCTCTCTTTAGAGGCATATTACTTTACTCCATATGAATGATAAGGAACTGGTCTCTATTCTAGGTACACCATGTACAATTTTTTTTTTAAATCTTACAACCGTTATTAATATAAAAAATTGTGAATGTGTCTAGATGGAAATTTACTGAATGGATTTGAATGAGTTTGGATACACGGGTAGGTTACCTACTTAGAAGTAATTCTAATTTAAGCGAACGAAGTAGCAGGGTAGGGCTAGTTGTTGAATAAACTATGCACGCACCGGTTGGCTCTCGAACATGGACTCTCGATATGGTACTGTGAGAGGCATCCGAGGAATCTGTCCTTCTTGGACTTTTCCAACTCCAGCAAATCCAATTGTTTGTTGTTGATGCAGTACTGCTCTCGGAACTCCTAAAAATATAGAAAGTATAATATTTATTTTGATTTTTAGAGATAGATACTCTTTATTGTTCCCTTCAAAAGATTACAACAGTAAACTTATTCTAGATAAAGACAATTACAAGAAATAATCACAGTGAGAAAACAATGGGCGACCTTATCGCTAAAACGATCTCTTCCAGGCAACCTTTGGATGGAAAGGAGTAATTATAAACAGTTTGATTATTTTATTATAGATATTATTATTTATTATTATTTTTTATTTATATAATATATATTTTAATGGATATTCTGTCAGTATTAGTATTTTGACCGTGTGGTCTCGGCATAGAATAGGCAACCCCTTCCTTTTCCAAGGGTGTCATAAGAAGTGATTAATGCACCTTAATGGTCGAGCTGCGTCTTTCTAGAAAATACATCAAATACATAACTGCGGTTACAAATCTGGCAAACTCCCCCCCCCCCACCCCTCCACAGGGGGACACCTGTATTCAGCAGTGGACAGTGAACAGTAGACAGACTGATATGATGATGATGGTGATAATTTTCGTTTTAATTGTTTGTATTTATGATAAATTTACTACTGTAATCTTTTGGAGAATACAACAAAGAGTATTTAGATACTCTGTCTATCTACTCGTATAAGTCGTCTATACAAACATTATAGCTAGATACGAGACAACAAGCTCTATATATATATATATATATATATACATTTTTTAAACATACATTAAATATTGCAATATATATTTTTCAGACAATTATTAAAACAGATTGTCGCCAACGGTTTCTCAATTTGGAAAACAAATTTATACACGAGAAAAGAGCGTTACAAGAGCGCTATTTTTGTCATTTATTCATAAAATTCTAAAAAAATGTGTCGAAAATACTATAAGAGTTTTCTTTGAGTATTTGATTATTATTAAAAAAAGTTATAAAAAAGTATAATATACTTATTGGCTATATAATATATAATTTTTATATTATATCATTAATCATAAATTTATATTAATCGTCGTGTATAAGAAAAAATATAATAAGTTAATAACTTATACGACGTAAAAAGAAATAATAACCTGCTTAGAGTACATGGTAGTCTTGCTGGCTGGCCGCTCGTCGTTGGCCCTCTGCCGCTTTCTGCCCGCGTTTTCATCCTCTGATTCGTAGCCTTTGGCCGAATGCGCTATATCCGCCTGTTGAAGAAATTTATGTTTTAGTTCAATAGTCTCAAAGTTTACTTTTGCACAGAAAGAAGAAAATATGATAATTTTCTTATTTAATATCTAGGAGTACTAGAACAGCCCGCTTAAGAACAGATTGCGTGCAGTGAGTGTACACTTTACCTAATTGCTATTCAACTAAATTATGGCCAATTGGTTTTCAGGCAGACTAAAAGTAGTAACCGTCGCTTACAGATAATTTATGAATAGGCATTAAAATAGGAGCAACATAACGAGCACAAGATACATATAAAATATACAGTCAAACATAGAACCTCCTTCTTTTTAGAAGTTGGATAAAAACCTCAAAAGAGTATCACCACTACCACACCTATATGAGATACGTTTTGTGAGAATTGTTTACTTCAAGCAAACTATGAAATAGCGTACGGGAAAACTATATTTCAGTTGGAGTTTCGACATCCTATTAAAAATGTAACATAACAGTATTTTTAGATTAGTGCTGAAGTAGAAATTGATACCAATAAAAGATTTATAAATACATGATGTATGCTATTTTTAATGAGATAAAAATGGTATTATAATACCGCCTACGCTATCAGTATACACTGGTAAGGCTTCCAAGTGACGAAAGTGAGAATGAAGTTAGCTCAGTTAGCCTATCGTAACGAATTCACCAGGGATTAATTACGATGATTTCCATGGAGACTACGTGGAGGTCGATCGATGTGCTCTGTACTCTAATTGCTATAATGTACTCTATATTGCTTGCATTAGAACCGGTAGATTCAATTACTAGTAATTCCTTTCCTTCCTGCAGTTTTGTAATAGATTGGCATTGATATAACTTGAGATATAATATGAGACTTTGTACAAAAGTCGATTGTTTGGGTACCTCTGTCCCTTTGGTGTTTCAACCGTAAAGCAGTTGTGTTTGCATGGCTGGGTTTGAAGGGTGGGATATGGCGTGAATTTACTGGGTACAGAGGAATAACACCTGAGTCCTCAGGAATGGCAACGCATGGGGTGTATCATGGGCGAAACAGTATACTCTGTTATGTCCATGGTACTGCTCATGTCTATAAGCGACGGTTACCAATTTCCATCAGGTGGGCCGTCAGCTTGTTTGCCATTCTAAGTTGTATAAAAAAATAAAAAATAAAACCCCGAATGCATTATAATTGTTGACGAACGATCATGAGATGCGGGGGCGGTGCGCTCATGTAGGCCTCCGGTACAAGCAGTGGCCATTTCGCATCTGACTAGTACCAACACCGGCTTCCTATAAATAACTACACAATAATATTTTAAAACAAAGACGAAAGTTTTTAACCAGTGCATGTTACCACTGATGATCTATAGAACTGGAACATGATCCTGCATGGTGGTTCGTATGTATAAGCTTTAAATTACTCAGCAAGCTATGGAGAAGATTACGCTCGGAGTTTCTTTGTGTGACAGAATCCGAAATGAGGATATTCGCAAAACAACCAAAGTCACCGACATTGCTCGAAGGATAAGTAAACTAAAGTCCATTGGGCTGGTCACATAGCTTAAAGAACCGTCAATTGATGGAGAAAAAGTTTCTTCAGTGACGACCCCGTATGGGCAAACGCAGTGTAGGACGACCCCTCGTTAGATAGAGTGACGCCCTCAAATGCATTGCAGAGAGCCAGCGGATACAGGTGACTCAGGATCGTTTCTTATGACAGCCTATGGAGACGCCTATGTTTAGTAGTGGACAGCTAATGACAATGATGGTAATGATGATGATAAATATTTACACAATTTCTATACATTATATTATTTTCTTGTATGTAGTATGTGACAATTATAGATAGATAGATAGATTTGTTTATTAGCCAGAACATTGTTTTTCCAGATCTATTGTGAAGTACAAATGTTCGCCTTATAGTCTAAAGAATTCAAAATCATTATTGGCTAGGTACAAGTTACATTACATTTAATAGATACATATAAGTTAATATTAAATCAACTATTTATTCAATTAATAATAACAAAATTATAATAGTATGTTAAAAAATCAATCAATAACAATACATTAGATTCAGTTTAATGTCATATGTATATATATATATAATCATCAAAAATTACAATCCGCTGTATTATTTCAGTCCTCCAGGACCCTAACAATAAGGATAGATATACTGCAATTTTATTAACATAGAATAAAACAGTGCAAACTATATTCAAAGAGGTGTTTTCAACGAACTGACAAAGAAAGTGTTCCACGTAATAAAGGGTCGATGCTTCATCGCCTCAAAGGAACTCGATAAGAACGTTATTGCAGAACTTGAGTGCATAATTGCAAGTCGACTTTGATCATTTGCATTCCACATTGCGATCGACTCTTTGATATTCCGGTTTTATTTTATCCAATAAAGTAAGTGAATTCGGCAGCAGTGACTTCAATCGTATATAAGCGTGACAAAATACATTGTGAATGATAGTATCCTTATTTGTTGTAATATAACGAAAAAAATGCAATAAAGCTTGACGAGATGTTGATAAGCAAACTAGATACATTAGATTTAAAGTATTCTAATTCAGAATTATGTATAATACAATTAGAATTTTGCTTCTAAAGTAGAAACGGCGGTTAAATTTTTATCGTAATATTAGAGACTAAAACACATCACATGCAAAATTGGTTAAAATTTTTATAAAAATTGAATATCTAACGTACTTACAAAAATACAGAGGGTTTGATTACCACTTTATTTCAGAAGGTATTGCGAAAGAAATTAAGAATATTTTGTAGACTGTACTCATAGTTTGTATACATGTACAAACATAACTATTGTCGCAAGTTTATATGAAAGAGAATCAATATGTGTGTGTATGTGTGAAAGAAAGAGATAACATGTCGTCAAAATTGAAGAATAGGAAGGGATGCCTCTATCTCAGTTGCTAGAAAGAATGACTAGTACATTTTACTGTACAAAAAAAAACGCAACATGAATCGTGACAAAGTAGGTACTGAAATAAATGACGAGATGTGCCATAGGTTATCCAAAATTTTTGAGTTTACTATGCAAAGTATGTTAGATTCAGTTTGATGCGCAAGAAAAGTTCTTTTCAATTCTAAATTAGAATATTTTAGAATTGGCAACATTTTTCTAATTTATTTTATAGTAAATCATTGCCAGTGACAGTGTACAAATGCGGACAACTGGATAAGGATTGGGATAAGGACTTAAATAATTACAAGCATTAAATCTAATTTAGGCTCTATAAGATAAAAGGGAGAATCATCGTTTCGTTTTAAACATTCGAGTCTTTTTAATTAAAGCGATCAAGGAAGTAATAGAACGCACATTTTAATTATAAATCAGATTATCTTACCTTCTGTAATTTTAAGTATAAATACACTTGAGAGTAACACCCAATTAACGTCTAATATGTTTATTTTTATTATTTTACTATTTTTATTTATAATACTTTTATTTACGCTCACACGCTAGAACCTAAACAGTGCGGTTTCAGATTTAGAGAAGTTTCCTACCGTGAACGCTCCTTGATGATATTTTCCTAAAGACTAACAGTATGGAGTTCCTCAAAAAGATTTTTTCTTTCAATTTCGGCAACGCGTAAGTGTTGTAGGCGCTCATAAGTTACAGTGACAGTTTATCGTTAGACTGGCTGTATGCTTGTTTGTTATCTTCGAGGTATAGAAAAAAAACTTGATATGAAAAAAAATTGTAATAATCGGTTTAGAATTAGCGAATACTTATCATATATACAAAATACAGAATAACTAAAAACCATTTCTTTTTTAATTCACTTAAAGAAGCTAAATTGTATATATGTATTGATTTGTTTATTCTTTATTCTTTATTGCACTTGAACAATACATATAGCGATAAGTTTAACAACTCGTTAGCAAGGGAGGGCTTATCTCTGAAAGAGATCTCTTCCAGACAACCCAGTGTAGTTAGAAAGAAACAAAAAAAATCTTTATATCAATTCCATTCATATAATCAATACAGAAAACCAAAAGTTCCAAATTAAATATTTGGACGCCAATGTTGTATACAGACATTCTGTTTTTAGCATTAAATACTTCTAATGTAATAACCTGTATTCAAGCAAATAAAGTTATTATTCGTTCAATCATTCATTAATTTATTCATTCATTCGTAGATAAACTCTTAAAATCGAACCACTTTTAATCAATGTATTCTGTTAAAAAGTCTTTAAGAGAACACCATTTTACAGTGTTATCAAAATTTCCATCGCATCTAAATGAAATTGTGCCAGTCCGTTTCAAAATGAGCTTTCATTTCATTTGTAATAAACAAAACGAATGCGATACGATAAAAATTGTTCAGTGAGAACGCTCTCTCTGAGTCTCTCTTAATGACAGTTCTGAGTATATCATCTAATATATAAGATCAGTTAAATTAATTTATAAAATCATTGATACACGTTTATTAAGCACTTTCACATCTATAATACACACTAGCGGCCGGTTCCGGATCACCACGGTTTTTTTTAATAAAATATAGCGCATGTTACTCGCTGATAATGTAGCTTTCTATAAATGAAAGAATTTTTAAAACAGTTATGTAAATTTTGAGTTTATTCATTAAAAATAAGTAAAATAAAGAGGAAACTCTTCATAACTTTTTTTATACGACTTAAAATGGCAAACAAGCTGACGGCCCACCTGATGGAAAGTGATAACCGTCGCCTATAGACATGAGCTGTACCATGGACATAACAGAGTATACTGTTTCGCCCATGATACGCATACGCATGGGGGGGCGTTGGCATTCCTGAGGACTCAGGTGTTATTTCTCTGTACCCAGTAAATTCACGCCATAACTTTAATAACTTTAGATATATAGTAACTAAATTAAAACCTTTTACAAATCACAAAAAAATTAAATAGAATTTTGTATTTTTTTTTAAATTGGAATTCAGCGTAAAAGGAAGAGACGAAACAATTTAATAGGTTTGTGAGAGCTTTGTCGTTTTTATGAAGAAAAGGGTAAGATTTTAACTAGGCAATGTTTGTATATAGAAGATTTGTAAGAAACAAAATATGTAATGAGTGTTAATATTAGTATTAAATACAAAACAAAAAATATGTTTTTGAATTTTTATTCTTACATTAATGTATATTTGTTCTGGTATCATGCAAAAATCATGTCTGGTATCATACTGGATGTGATTTTCACACTTGTGTTCCTAAAGGTCGAACTCAAAATTTTGTGTATATTTTATATTAATAAACCATCCTGAAGTGATCATTTAATAAGTTTCCCTTCTTTCTTCCTTTTTTTTTTTCTTTTTTATACAACTTTGAATGACAAACAAGCTGACGGCGCATCTAATGGTAACCGTCGCCTATAGACAAAACAAAACAAAACAAAGTTGCTTTACGGTGTAATTTTTAATTCAAAAGCTATTTTATAATAAAATATTAAAAGTAACCCTACTATATTTTTTTTTAAATTAAAATGTATTTATTGGAACCATAAAAAATTACAATTGTAGGGTAGTGTACGATAACAGCCACATTAGTTAAAAATAACTGTGTCGTGGCTGAAATTTAAATTAAAAACTTTATAGTACCGTGTTACGACCTATAGAAGTAAATGACTCTTATCGTAGTAGTCCTTCAAATTAGAATAAATTCCCTTGAATAAAAAAAATATTCATTTTTTACATAACTGAGGTGCAAATAAGCATACGATCCGCCTAATGATAAGTGATAGCGACAATACTAGGAGCATTACGCGCGGGTTGCCGATTCTGAAGAAACCTCTTTACCCCTTTTTTTGAAGAACCACATGCTATAGTCTCTTGGAAAAATTTAAACTGAATAGATATGTAGATGATTGTAAAATTACGTTTATTATGTTCTTAAATCAAATTTTATTTTTAAATAGCCATTAGCTTGAATTTTTTTAAATTTTTTATTACATTGCTCAACTGAAAGTTAACGTAGAATTAGACTCTGCACACCTCTTATATAAAGCATAAAAGGTTCTCGTGAAATAATTAAAATAACGAAGAATAATGATTATCTTCTGGGGAAAATGAATGCATGCCTAAAAGCTTCGGTCGTCAACGGTCTTTTACTTTGTGTGGTTTAAGTTAGGGACTTCTGCTCATACCTGTATTTTATAGTAATTTCATTTATATAATAATTCTATTATAATTATATAATTATAAATATGGTATTTTTCGGTCTCACATAAACGGAATATACAATTAAAATTGTATTCCACAAAAAATCGACAAATTGTGGCAAAATTTAGTTAATTTATTTTAAAAAATAAATTACTGAACGTATTTTGATAAAATGTCTATAGGACTAATATTATATAAGTACATATTTTCAGATAAAAAAATATGCTAAATCATATATAACTGACGAAGTTATGACGTGACAAACATAAAATACAACAGAATAGAATCGAGATCATCTTTCTTTTTGAAGTCGGTTGAAAATGAAATAATTTTCATTAAATACAGTGAATTTTTATAGTGTTTATTAAAGGAAAATAAAGTACATTAACAGTAATTTGATAATAAATTAATGTAATAATTTCTTGTAAATTCCTTATTTTATATAGAAAAATATTTATAAGATTTTTAAACGACTTCAAAAGGAAAAAAAAACTTCTTAATTCGAATAAGTGTATGTTACGCGATGTCTTCTCCAATTTCTTTATATTTTTCTATTTATTGATAATTAATATGATTAACTTCCAGCTTGATACTATTTTTTATTCTCGATTTAAATTAAAATTATTTGCCTGAATAAAATCGCTTCTCGTTCATAACTTGGACGTTCCTCAACGACGGACACCTTGAGTTCTGAAATAAAGGGTTTCACGAGTCTACGAGTCTTTACGCCTCGGATGGAATTTCATTAAAAGAAAATCGCGTTGCAGATGGTTCACAGTAATGCCTTGGGCAAGAAAAGAAAACATCTGTAGCTAGTAAAATTTATAGTCCAATTATTTCTATGTCCGTTTTTATGACAACGTCATTTTTCATTTAGAGACAAAATTTAAAAAAAGAACGTGCCATTTTTAAAAACATCTTCATGCAGCGCCTGAGTTTACTAGTTTGGTATGTTCGATTGTTTTCTATTATCAATAGAGGATGCTATATGTACAAAATTATTGAATAGTATAATTTGTAACAAATTTAGACACACTATACAGCTTTCTATTCCTAAATTAAGCATAGTTCTTTAAAGGACGATAATGGAATGCTAACCACGCTTACACTAACGGTATACGATGTAATGGGAGGGGGGGGGGGGGGGTGATGATAATGAAAAAGGAGGTCAGTCAGCCTATCGTGAATACACCTGGAATTCAGCACGATGGTTTCCAGGGGTGACCATGTGACAGGATATATTGCCTATAATGGAACTGGTATTAGATATATAGATAAAGGAAACAAAAAAAATATCACTATATATTCTCTTTTACCCAAAGATTGACTGTAAGAGATTGCCCTAGCAGTAAGACCACCTTCTGTATATGAAGGGTCCACTGCAATAATGATGAATGTCCTTTGTCTTTTGTTTTAAGATAATTGAGTTTTAAATTTTTAAACGGTATAAAAAAACTCAAACATAAAGATAATTAAATTTTGTTTATTACAATTAAATAACATGTATCATAGCATTATTTCTTTGGAAAATAATCATTCTTAGAGTATTATAAACTAATTAAAAATAATGTAATCAAAAGTAAGTCTTTAAAAATCAGAACTATAATGATCACTGTCCACACTGCGTTGACAGTCAATAATGATAGGTACCCAAATGACTGTTTTAATTGCCTTCTGATTCTTTAATATTTGCAGCATGAGGAAGTTCATCGTAATAACGTCTCGTTTCAGGCCTACAGAACTTTTTTAGGAACTGCAGGTCGTTATATTTTGCTGTTGATATAGGCAGCTTGTCTTTATAAGCCAAACCAGGTAATTTGAATTCGCCCTCATTAACTGCCTTCATAGACCGAAAAGAAGCTGGTGTATTGACCACACTAGATTCCCATGGACTATTATTGAAATTTCTGTGAAACATGAGCCGTGGGTGTTCCTTCTGGACTCGAAATTCACGCACCGGTCGTATGGGAAAAGGACAAGTTTTTTTGTAAAACGGTTTCAGAAATGCAGTCCAGCCCTTAAATGCATCTTGTGAACATTCGATAATATCGAAAGGTTTCGGTTTCTGTCGAGCTCCACGCATATGTTCGGCCCATTCTTCAGGAAGTTCAATTCTAGCCTTTTGATTGATATAGGCCATGTTACGATCACACTCCATGTATGAGTGACCCCTTATGGGAAATATAACTGTGACTAATTCTAATCGGTTGCAGCAGTGAACTATGTAGTGTAGCAGTCTAAAGATGGTATAATTTTTATTTTGACCACCACACGAGTCACAGAAAATTATAAGAGACTTGACCTGTAACTCCATTTTATTAAATATGAAATGAAACAGATGAGAGGCTACATCGTCTGATCCTTTTTTTCCAATACTCTCATCGTAAGCGAAAAAATAAGATGAAGAATCAGCAAGCACATGAATATTAAACATAAAATAACTCAGCTGCCTTTTATAATATACATCGTTTGTAGTTATATTCGGTACAGAAAGATTTTTTGAAAAATCCATTGCAATCGCTACTGTTGTAACATCTTGCCTAGCTGTCAAACGAGCTTTTCTTTTTTTATCATAAAAGACTTCAGCTCTCTTTTTGTGTGCTAAATTTTCTATTTCGAGTCTTCGAAGTTGAGACAAAATCTGTGATTTTTCTTGCCCATCAGGAAGAGGAGCAATCTTAATTTCAAGATGTTTTTTCTCAGCTTGAAATTCATCACAAGTCGAACATGTATCCACCCTGGGATAACCGAATGATATGTTGAAATTCTTATTGAAAAAGTTGCGATATGTTTCGTATGATACTCTGTTATTTGGATTGTTTTCATTATACATTTTGTGAATTTTAGACAAGTTCAACTCATCCGACAGATATATTTTTTGACTCTCACGTAAATTATAATGGCCTTTCTTGCCGTTAATAGTTTTCAGAGTGTCAATTTGCTTGTACATTAAATCAATAGTTTGTTTAGAAAGCTTTTTCTTAACATGTTTCCCTCGTTTATCTTTTTGGACAACGCCATACTCAGTCAGTGATTTCTGAAGAAATTGAAGTCTTCTTCCAGTGATACCATGTAAGGATATAAAAGCTTTTCTACACACCGGTAACTCGTAAGTATCATCCCCGATCATACGAATCTTGTAAGAGTATGACTTATTATGTAATTTCGCATTTTCTTCACCTACTCGTGGACGACGACGTCGTACATTAGATACGATTATAAGCCCACTTAAATAATTATCTTGATCGTACCTGTTCGCAAAACTATTAAATTGTCTTAATATTCTTGCTCTCTGCTCTTCATTTATCATTTTAAAACATTTAAAACGATTACACTTACAGTCATCACCATTTTCATGCCCTTGGAGTCGAAGTTTCTTTAAAACATCACTCATTCTTCCTGTCTGTTTTCTTTCTTTCGTATTTCTGATCATTTCGTTGTTCTCAATCATAATTTTAAGAAAGAAAGTATATAACTCCGTATAATATGACCTTGCAGAATGCCAGATGCACAAAGACTGACAAAACAATTGGCGGGAACGCCACTGATTTGACAGCAAGATGGCGGTCCGTGCGAGCAGATGGACATTTATCATTATTGCCGTGAATACCTGTGACGTTGAGCATTCTAGCCGTGTAGCCAAAATATTAAAAACATATTTATCTCGGGACTGCAAGCAATACTGCTAAGTTCGTAAAGAAGATTTAATAAGTACATTGTCAAGTAATCGAATGGCATTACTCGTTAAGATTTAAATATTTTTGGACCTTCATCATTATTGCAGTGGACCCTTCATATAATATATATATATATATATATATATATATATATATATATATATATATATATATATATACATATATATATATATATATATATATATGTATGTGTGTGTATATATATATATATATATATATATATATATATATATATATATATATATATATATATATATATATATATATATATATATATATGCAGTTATTGTCAATCCTAAAAAGAAAACTGTAAATTAGATTGTAAAACAATAAAAACTATAAATAATAAATTTTAAATGTGTATTTAGAGTGTGTGAGTGCGTGATGCCAGTGATGATTTATGGAATCAAAACATGGTCCTACACGATTGTCCGTATGCAAAAGCTTCAAGTTACTCAGCGTACGACGAAGAGGGCTATGCTCGAAGTCTCTGCGAGATAGAATCCGAAACGAGAATATCCGCAAAAGAACCAAAACAACCAACAAAGCACGAAGGATAAGCAAGCTGAAGTGGCAATGGGCTGGTCACATAGCTTGACGAACCTACAATCGAGGGGGAAGAAAGGTTCTTGAGTGGCGACCACATACGGGCAAACACAGTGTAGGACGACTCCCACTAGATGGAGTGATGACCTGAAATGCATTGCAGGGAGTCAGTGGATGCAGGTGGCTCAGGACCGTTCTTAATGGCAGTTTATAGGAGAGGCTTATGTCCAGCAGTGGACGGATAATGGCTGAAATGAATGAGTGAATATGTATTTAGAGCCATGTAATGTACCTAGTCTAAAGAACCAGCTCCGTAAGAGTATTAGAATTAAAAAACTTTTTCGAAGTAGCCAGAAACTTGTCAACTTACTTAGGCGAAGTGGCCAATTGGTTATTGGTTTTACGAGCTACGTACCTAACTAACTAGTTAGTAAAACCGATAACTACATAGAGAAGAAATTGTCTTAACTTAGTCTACAGAGGAGAAGCGTACATTCATTAACTGAACGAAAGTTAGTTTAAATGTGGCTTGAACTAATAAGTATAATGTACAGATATATCTTTAACGGGTGAAAATGGAATGGGGGTTACCTTTCAATTTTCACCCGTTAAAGATATAGCCTACACTGTCAGTATATATTGGCAAGGCACGAGTGAGAGATAACAGAAAACAAGACAGCCCATCGTGACGAATTCCAGAATTAACCGCGATGGATCCAGGAAGAGTACCCCCTGGAAACCATCGTGCTGAATTCCAGGTGTATTCATCACGATGAGCTAACTGACATGTTTTTTCATCCTCACTTATCCTCCCTCACTGGTGCCCCGCCGGTGTATACCGATAGCGCAGGCGGGCTTACCATTCCTTTATCATCCATAAAAAAAAAACATCTTTTTCACATCTCTTAAAGATATTTAAGAGGTGTGAAGAAGATGACCTTTTTATAATGGATGATATTTCCTATTTAACTAGTGACAAATGTGAATAAATGAAATAAATATGTTGTGTTTATTGTTAAATAATTTAGGTACTTTAAAATTTTTTAATACTTTTCTTTAATAATTAATTAACAACTAATCTTTTTTTTATTTTACTCAGTACTTGTTTATAATCATATTAATCATGCTGGAAAATTGGGTAGAGGATCACCACTCCTGCCCAATTTTACAACTTACACGATCTCAGATCGCGGTTTGTACGTACATAGATAGGTCAGGTCTTTTACGAGGTTATAACAACTTAGGTATAGTCGATACCTTGATAATTAGTGCACTTTAATTATAATAAATTATCAGTTGGTAAACTATATATAAACACAGGTACATAAGATGATTCTAGGTATTATTTAAAACTCGAAATAATAATTTTGGCCCGAAATATTTTTTTGATACAAGCTTACAACTTTGTTAATTGGAAAGAAAGGACCCTTCTTTTCTCTATAATTTGTTTCCCAACTTCGACTTCTAAATACTTGTGGACTCTGACCCTTTTGTATCGAAGTCAAGATTTCGGGCTAGTACTTAAAGCACATTTCGCCTGCCCTAGTAAAAGAGGATTATATGAGTATGTATATCCAATTTTGTTATCTATTAACTGTTAACAAAATCCAGAATAAAGGGATTAATAGCTATGGGGATACTAGTCTCCGTTGTTTACTTATCTATTTATTTACTTGTTAGCAATATACTCTATCAGGACGACCTCCACGAGGTTCCCCCTGGGAACCATAGTAGCCATAGTAACCATAGAACCAATTTTTGTCGAATTCGTCACAATGAGCCAACTAATCTGAATAAATTAACATTATCACTTGGTACTCCACTACCGTATAATAATAGCGCAACCGGGGTTACCATTTTATTATTTTTCACCATTAAAAAATTTGTTATACTGTAGGCAAAAAGGATTTTTGGTAATGGGAATATTAATATTTATTATTAGCAATATACCTGTCAGGGAGATCTCCATAGGGTCCCCTGGTTATGTTAATATATGGAGAGCTGACATTTTTTCATCATATCAAGGAATATTCAGTGATACCCCCATGGACGTATTTACCCCTAAACATATTCAAATCCTAAGCATATTTAAATGAAGATATTAAAAAAATGGAAAGAATATACATCTATAATATACATACAAAAAGAAAAGGTTTAATTGCTTGCTTGTTTATAATGGATAAACTCAAAAACTACTCAACTGATTTTAAAAATTCTTTTACCTAAGAAACATTATTAACAAATAATATGTGATTTATATTATTTTAAAAATTCGATCCGCCTGGACGAAGTTGGACCGGATCACTAGTAGAACATACATGGAATAATCCTTCCCAAGGTTTACGCTTACCTGAGTAGAAACTGACACGCCTTGGCCGCCCACGCCGCCACCTGAAAAAATGGTAAGAATGAATAATATTTTACCTTATATATATTCCTTATATCGATATTATATATGAGAGAGGTACCTACGTATATCGTTAGATATTCCATACATATTTAGATGCCTAATATATATTTTATTCTCATATTAGAAAATATTTACGTACTTATATTTTATATTTAGAGTAATAAGCTAAGGAAGTATAACTAAGAAAATATATATAGTATCATGTGGCCCCGACTTAGAATAGGCCACCCCTTTATTTCCCGTGGGTGTCATAAGAGGCAACTAAGGGAGCTTAATGGTCGAAGGATGGACAATTCGTTCGCGTTCGCGTTCCTCTCAAAACATCACCAAAGATTAACGCTTGCCAATCATGGCTAATAACTGGAAAATACTCCCAATAGAAGAAGGCTTATGTTCAGCAGTAGACAGTTAACGGCTGATATGATGATGATGATGATAAAGAAATAGTACATTACTTCAGCGGCCAGCAACTGAGGCATTGATGGACGAACGTGCAAATGTAGGCCGAGGCGTAGCCGAGGCACACATACGTGAGTCCATCAATGCCTAATTGTGGCCAAGGCTTGTATAGTACTTTTCTCAAACAATACGCGGCAATCAAAAACACAATTTTACTTTTTAAGTTCAATAATGAATAACGAACAATAATAATTTTTCACGCGCCATAATATTCCTTTGTTTTTTTTTTTTCAATAAACAGCTTTCTATTTGCAAGCCAGTTCCAAATTTAAATAAAACCTTTTATTAGTTACCTTTTTGGTAACCATGTTTCGAAGTAAAAGGTCATTCCATTTTTAAATTACAGGACAGATATGAGTTTACATAGTAATTTATCTGGCCGCAAAACACGACAGATATGGATTTTCATACAACTTTTGCTGGTCGCAGCCCGCATGTATCTGGCCAGTACGGCAATTTTGATTTATTTCTAAGAAGATTGTCAAAATAATGCTCACATTTCCAAGCATGTTTGAGAAAATATTATTTTATGTCTAGACAGGAACAGGAAGGAAGATCCATTACTTTGGATGCCATTTTTTAAACCTACAGGTTTCATATATTCTTATGTTGATTCATGATTCGTAATTATATTTTAATTGTATCGAGCGATATATGGAAGAATCTATTTAGCATTAAGTCCATTTTGTACGCATACCTTGTATTAAAGAAAAATAAATATATTTTTTTATCTTTACTTAACTCCTACCCGAAACATATCCTTTTTCTTACAAAAATGATTTAAAATAGATCGCTTTTGGCTATAAGACCGCCCATTGTGCTTCTTCTATATTATTATTCTATATAATTAGTTAAATTAAGATATTATTTGGGGTCTTGAAAAGACGCGTGTGAAAGCAGTTATTAAGCCAACATAGCGGGACCAAGCAATGACTTAGGTTCACCTAGCACACCAGTGGATCCTATTCATGGATTGTACACCGAAACTTTCTTCTACAGGCATTTGCTGCACCATCACATGTCGAGCTATTATATAAAAAGATGTCAACATAATTTATTTATAGTATAAGTTATAACTTCGGTTGCCAATCCACCTGCAAAGCGTGGCAACTACTGGCAAAACCCCCTAAGGGGGAGGTTTATTTATGTTCAGCAGTGCACAGTTAAATGCTGATATAATAATGACGATGATAAGAACCTACATGGATTAGGAGAAATAAGTGTCCTACATATCAATCCAGAATTTATGATACGTCTGTGTCAACATTCATTTAACTCCACATAATCGAATAAATATGATGGAGTAACAGATGACAAATATCTTAATACAAACTGCTATTTATTTCCATTAATTCGTCGGTTAATTTTCAACCTGTTAAATTTTTTATTCCCTAATGTGTAATACAGCTTTTTAAAATAATACCAAAAATGTGTTAATTTTTTTAAAAATTTTCTGCCAGTAATTCTGTAATGGTGAATTAGTTTGTTGATGATCAACAAATTAATTCATCTATGAGACGACAGTGATTGTAATTCGAAATTTTATTGATAAAAGCTTAAACTAAAATTGTATTGAAATTTATTCGCTGTCTAATGCGATTACTTATGACTAAGTCCGTATTTGTTTATGGATTCGTTGCATCATAATTGTTATGCTGCAGAAGGCTTGTTGAGCCGTTTCTGTGTTACCGTTAGATACGTCGTTAAAGCTAGGCTTTGAGCGGCTTTAAAACAGAGAGTCTGTGTGGCTGATAAGTACCGGGCCAATGCCATAAATGGAAGCCCCTTTTAGAAGTGAATATCGGAAGCAACGAAGGAAATACTGTGAGATATAAAACAAGTCATAGTCTTTGAGTAAATGCAAAAATATAAGTGTTTAAATGACTACTCCGAAAAAAGCCGTTCTAAATTTAAAATTTAGTTTTTTTTTTCAAATCAGATAAGTTGATCTCACTGCTGACCTTATAGAAAGTTTTGATCATTGTCTACAGACATGAAAAGCTCTGGTTTTCCCATAGGGTTTACCTCGTATCATAATAAAGACTGGACAAACTATAATGGTCCAAATTGAATAACATATCATATTATATCTACCAAAACACAGCAGTCGTAAAACGTCATACAAACTGTAGGAGTTTTATATATTATTCTGCGTGTTGTAGCATGGTGCGAGTGATAACTGACATTTTGTCTTTTTACCATTTAAAAAATTATATTCAGTAAGATTTTTGGAGTAAAATAAATAGAATATTCATAGGATAATTACTTCTTTCTTAAAAAGATTAAAATGATATTACCTTTCTACCATCATTATGTTCACTTATTTCTAATTTGTATACATTTAATATATGTATTTTTGGGTTTGTTATATATAATTTTTCTGTTAGTATATTTATATATTCTACACATTTTTTAATATCAGTTTTCAATACTCTCTTGCATTATTAATGCCCACGCAAGTTTTCATATGCCACTGTGTTGGGTTAGCTGGAACAGCTAAATTCTTGCTCATATTACTTTTAATATTTATTGTATTTTACTATATTTTTAAGTACAATAAAAAATATTATATTAATATATAATGGATTCTTCCCCACAATTAAGGCATTGGATGTTTCGTTTTAGAGATTTTTTTATAAATTTACTGTCACATATATATATTGCAAAATCAATATTTAATGTACTCGTTATTAGGTCTGTACAACGCAATTGATATTGTAACTATGTAATTAATATGTATCATGTAATCCTAGTAGTTATCAAATATCTACAAAAATATATAGAATAGGTGTTGTCATATATATTTTATATTTCTATATGTATATATTTCCACTTTCATTTTACAACAATGCCCACATATTTCTTTAGCAAATAGATACATAGGCAAAGGGCAGTTCCTTCAATTTACCTTTGGTCCTATCCAACGCATTGTTTGTAAGAAATGCGCCTTCGGGGACGTAGACAATAGGGAGAAAGGTCCATAAAGCGCAGTACGAAGTGAAATGACTACACTAAACTTGGTCAAAGGGAGTGAAAGTTTTTCTACATCGTTAAGTGACTAATAAACAGTAACAAAGTATTTTGTATTTATAGTAAACTTCGATAAAAAAAAGCAATAGTTTTGTAAATGTCATAATGAAAACGGTACTGAAACTTGTCAATATAAAGAATAAAAATAGATCTTATTTAACATTTGCAGTAAATTACAAGTAAAAATATAATTTAAAATAGGAAACACATATTTCAATATTTATTGTATAATTGACAAAATGTAGAAACAAGTTGAATTTAAATCCAGTTTAAACTGTACCATACAATATTTAGCAATTAATAAATTACAAAATGTGTATATCAATAAACTTTTAATGAAGTTATTTAAACATTTTTGAATAGTATTTTTTATGATTATTTATTCTTTACAACTGAAATGCCGAATTCAGAAAACTGTTTCAGCTGAGAAGAAAATGAGACATGAAACTGTGCTATTGGTCTTATCAAACAAAAGTTGGATTACAAACTCGACAAATAAAATATACGTGAGTAAATCCCATTACTGTTACAATTAAAACACAATGCGCATTTACAAAACTTTTGAGATTAAACTCGGAAAAACAAACGTCTTACACCCACTGTCTATGTGGGTGTAAGAAGTTTGTTAACTTATTTGTGTATAAAACAGAAATGATAAAATATCATAACAATAGACAGACAAAACAGCGTGGGTGAACGTAATATTAAAAGGATTTATAAATTAAATTCTCAGTTTAGAATCTAATCTATTGGTTAGGAGTTTACTTTGGAGTATAGAAAGAAAATTAATACATCTCACAGAAGTATTTCAACAAGTGCAATTTCTGTCTACGAGTAATTTCGGGGAACGTTTTTGGTTTCGAGCCTAGAGAAAAGATATAATCTCCCAAAAGCATTTTATAATACGTTTCCTTCTATATATTGGGGATATCGACTTTTCTGGGATATAACTGACCACTGCTAGATATAAGCTTTCCCTATATCTACCAGTGGTCAGTTAACGGTTGATACAATATAATATGAGCTATATATTATTTTCAAAAATTCTCTCTACCCTTACGAAGCCAGATTGTATCAATAATTATGTATATTTTGGTTCTTTTTCATTTATTCTACACATAAAACATACATATAGATAAAAAACATAAATACAAACTAATATATAAATTTATAAAGGATTAATTTTTGTTATTAACGAAATAGGAGAAAAATCTTCGAAGATTTTTCAGGTTAATAATTTCTAAAAAACTATGCCGTACAAATAAAAATGAATTGTTAGACATGAATAACAAAATTCGAAATCCTTATAAATGTGTAATATTTGTTTGATTATCTTTACTGTATTAGCTTATATTTGAATTCCATGGAACTTTTCAAGAAGCCGTAGGACGTTTTCGCAATAAAGAAGTTTTAAGGAAAGAATATTTCATTTTTGAAGGACCTCCCCACAGATCAAACGTTCGAATGGGAAAAAAGGGAACAGAAAAACGGA